AATATTGATAATCAAAAATGTTCTTGAGAGATGATGATTGAAATTCAATTCATAAATAATTTGTTAAATTTATCTAGTAAATAGTTCAATCAATAATATATTTCTAGTAACTGCTAACCATAAAGCAATTAATACAACTTCAGATAAATATATCAGTAATACTATTTAGAACTCAATATGCAACACACTTATAAAGTCTAATTATTATTTCTTTCACACTATAATAAATAAACCTTATTTTGTTTCCATGGCCTGCTCCTGTGTTAATGTGATGTCTTGCCTTTCTGAATCTTGCACTGGGGTTCTACCTTCATCACTCTTTCAGTAGATTTTATGCACTGAACCTGTGTCCTGTTACGACTACACACCTGAATTTCTCCTATTGATTAAATACCTATAATGTCTCTCCTAATCACAGAATTTGTTTACTGGGATTTATTCAGTCGGACAAAATGTTCCTGCTGTAATTCGTATGTCACTATTACACACTGATTTTGTTCAGTTAGATTTGAACTGTCCAGGTAATGTTCTTGCACTGTATATGATCACACTATTTATTATCTTTGTTCTGTCACAAAACTGTTCCTGGAATTTCTGTCTGCTTCACAATATTAGTACGGAAATGTTCATACTTTACCTTTTATGAGCACCTTTCATCCTTACATAGCTTCACACTACTGTTGTGTTGACTGGTTTGTAAATTATGTGTTGTACATCACTCACTCTGACACTGGATGCTGACCCATCTGATTCACCAGCTTCTTGTCACACCTGGCACCATGTCACCTGATTCTGACTTCCTGAATGTACCTGAAATTGGACTGTTGCCATACCCTGTTTGACTGAAAATGTTCCGCTGTTTACTATCGGCAGCGAATTGTAAAGTTTCTGCTAGATGGAAAGTTAGCAGTATTTCACGGAAATATTCTAATACACATTGTTACTTCGCTGGTAATTTTTCTTCTACACATAGAAGGATACAGCTGTTGTAACTAGAGTGTGACACGGCAGTTGCTTTCACCTCTTACACTGCAAATCTTGAGGCTGGGTTATTTTGTACCTGCCCGTAGACTACTCCTGGGTACCCATTACAATTGACAGCCTTTGTTCCGGTGATGCCATCTGTAGATACTTTCCTTTTTTTTTAAACTTTGGGATGTAGTGGTTTGCCAGAGAGATCGCCAGACATCTCTATCAGCAGTTTTCTTTCTGGCTTTGTTTCATTCCAGTCCTCTGTCATTTAGGGACTGTCGGATGTTGTCTTCCCAGTGGATCCTGGGTCACCCTGGAGGTTTGATTCCCTGGTTCTTAGCCTCCCATGCTTGCCATGGTGGCTAATTGTCTCCCATTCTGCATACACGTCCAAACTACCGTAATTGTGACTGATCCACTCGGGTTTGTAAGGACTGTGTATCAAGATTTTGACGTATTGTCTGATTGTGGACTTGTCCCTTCTTGTCACTTGGATCACCTTTCTCAGATGTCTCACTTCTGAGGCCTGAAGCTGGCTTCTGTGAGCTGTTGTCATTGCCCATGACTCACACCCATAGGTCAGGACTGGTACATAGGTAGAGCGGTAAACAGCCATTTTCATCCTCTTGCCAATTCTCTTCTAAGAAACCCTTGGCTTCTGGCCTGGAAGATTCTCCCAGCAGCTGCTTTTCGTGTCGCCAGCTCAGTCTTATTGCCACCGTTTCAGTCTAATACAACTCCAAGGTATTTGAACTGGTTGACCTGCTACAATGCATACTGTCCCATCATGATCTGGTGTTTCTTCTCCTCTCTTGAGATCACCATAGTTTTAGTTTTGGAGATACTGATAGTCATCCTTCTCTTCTCAGGCTCTTCCTTCCAGACAAGTAATTTAGACTGAAGGTGTGTCTGTGATTTAGCTATCAGGGCCACATCGTCTGCAAATGCCAGCTCTGATATACAGACTGGTCTCATCTTCCAGTATCCAACTAAGTACTTCTTTGTCTTCTCCTTACAGGTCTTGATGACATCATCCATCATAAGAATGAAGAGGTAAGGTGAGAGAATATCACCTTGTCTAACACTGGTAGTGGTCTTAAATTCTTCAGACTTTTGGTCTGCCGTTCTAACATAATTCCTGAAGCTTTTGTAAAAACTCTGTATTGCACTGCCTTCAGTTGATTTGAATATCAAATGTTCATCCAACGTTCTCTTCTTAATATTCTTGAATGACTAGGAGAATTAAGTTGTTACCTGGAGAGTGACATGTCACTTGCTTTCACCTCTCAGGTTGCTATTCTCGTGGCTGTTATTTCCCACCCATAAAATGCAGCTGGATACCCGTCACAATTGACAGGCCACCTTTCCGGTTTCTCCTTTTGCTGTTTCTGTTGTCAAAATTAACTGTATTCAGCCATTTCCTTCGGGTTTTCCATTCTCAAACCCCCATCTTGGAATAATGTTGCTCTTTCTATCAGTCTTGACTCATATAAATTAAGTTCTTCCCACTGTTCTGGTGTAAAGTTACTACCAGCAGAGATATCAATGAAAGACAGCTATCACGCAATTACTGTTTATTGCTGTGGAACGTGTCATCCAGTCGTTGTCATAGGTCTTCGCTCATCATTTATGACTCACTCACAACTGATGCCACAAAACTAGACTACAACTTGACTATAGATTCAGTTACCTTTCAGTCTGCATGTTCCATTCACACGGGTTATTTCTCATCTGAATGACAGTATCACAAATATTCACAATTGCTCGGCATGACACTTCAGAGTCACATCTAGTCAGCCATTTCCTGGTGTTTCAGGTTCTTGCTCCCTCTGTTAATGATTATAGTTGATATCAATCACTCCATTCATTCAACCTCCTCTTGTACTGTTAAACACCGACTGACTCCTCTCCTGTCTCACCTTCAAACCTTTGTTCTCATCCCACAGGTTTTTCTTGCAATCGTTCACCCAAACAGGGAAATGCTATATTTAGATTTTCCATGCTTTCCTCATTTACTTGGCCTGCTGATCTAACGCCCTTCATACTGGGAACCCCCTGGAATCCCTGGGATTTTCCCTCATTACAATCCAAATGAAAATGATCAGATCATTGTGAGACTCAGTGTTGAAATACTGCTTCATGTAATTATATTAGCCATTAAATATTCATAAACAAGCAGATATCATGCTTCGATAGTTAGTAAAGTGAAATAATGTTTTCCCCTACCTATGTTCACTTTGCTCAAGGGATAAAATATAACCCAAAAAAATCATAAATGAAAGTGAGCCACTTAATACTATACAAATAAAATTCACTCTGTCGACCCTGCCTTGAATGCATACCAGTTGCAGTCGTGGGAAGTAAAAATGGCTGGCCTGATACTAACCACCTGACCAACCGACTGCTGATTAGTCTATCAAATATCGGTCTAGCCCCATATGCCCAGTATGCCTGCAGGCAGGGAAAAGGGTACTTTACAATAGCTGCTGTTCCTTATACATGTTCAGATCACATAGCACCAGCTTCTTCAGCCCGTTATTTCCTAATTGACCAACTTTACACCAGATCACCAAATCTCTTACTATGGTATGCAGCTCACGCATATCCTCCCTAAACTTCTAGCTGCACTGTCTAGCTCCCTTCTCTGTCTGATATTTATGATTAGTCTGCCTTTATTTGTATGTTCCTGTGGGTTCCATTGTATAGAAGTATAGACATTCTAGTTGTATTGTTCTCAGGTTTTCTTAGTATGTGTCCTATCCAATGCCAGTGCCCAGCACAACTGTATTACTTGGTATCTTTAGTTATTACAGCATTACATGGATTTGACAAATCTGCTATCCCCATTGGTCACTGTTGGTTTATACAAACACATTTGTTGCCTCTGAAAATCATGAAGCCATGATTCTTCTATATTAGTATGTATTTGCTTCCTTGGGTGTCTGTTTCTGTCACTGTAGCTTGGTGTTATACAGTTTCATAAACCAAGCATACCATTTTTGGTTCAGTCGGAAGTGACTTGACAGCAGATAGCATTGTGTTGATTTAGACAGTCATTCAGTAAGCAGTGGCAAACTCCTGAACCTACAGCCAACATATGCTGAGGTTGGTTCATGACAACCTGTAAAGGATATACAGCTGACTAACTTTAACTTGGGTATTAGCTGTGAAACCTGGGACTGAAAGAGCTGATGCCCTTATGCTTCACTGCTGATGCCCTTATGCTTCACTGCTGATGCCCTTATGCTTCACTGCTGATGCCCTTATGCTTCACTGCTGATACCCTTATGCTTCACTGCTGATACCCTTATGCTTCACTGCTGATGCCCTTATGCTTCACTGCTGATGCCCTTATGCTTCACTGCTGATGCCCTTATGCTTCACTGCTGACGTGTATCAACTTAGTTACAAGCTCATCAAAAGTTACATCTACTTTATTGTACATTGAGTTAACCTAATGAACAGCAGTGGTTGTGTTTGCTCCTGCACAGTGTTCAGGCTATGATTATATTTACTAAAAATAGCATTCTGGGAGTGTTTCTTGTTAAGAAAATTGCCTCTAGAAGGTCATTATGGCTCATATTTCACCTTTACTTTAGTCATATGGCGACAAAGGTCACAGGTCAAGTATGAGTCCCCTAATAATTTTGTTTGAAGCCCAAGATAGTGAAATCCATTTAATTCTCCCTTCGGTTTGTATTTATTGATTATCCTCTTCATTTATATATACATTTTTTGTAAATTGTTAAATTTCAATCAGTGAATTGTTTTTTAATGTATTAGTGACATGTGTGAAATGGTTAAGGGTTTTTTTTTTTCAAGAATGTCTAGGATCATAAGCTTTTTCCTCCCAAAAGGTTTCAGGGGCAAGAAGGTTAAAGAGGTATCAAACTGGAAATAATTAAAATGGGCTGATTCATAAACTGACATCAAACATTTATATTGTCAGTGAAAGTGCTGTTAGCTCTACAATAAGTTTATAATTAATTATTTAAATCGGTTGTTCACACTTTTTGTTTCTATTATAGATGGATACATTTGAGATCTTTACAAGTTCAGCGGAGGAGACTAAACAGATTGTATCAGATTTACAACAGACTGGATGTTGTACACGATGTATCCTACGGCTTCTTGGGGAGTTACGCTCACTAACTTACAGGTCCTCACTTGAGGTATTCTAGAGATGAATAGTCAGAGGACTAATATGAATTATTCTTGAGCTTGTCAAAGTGCAGCAATATCTATATATGTGATCGTTTGAAATAATAATTGAATAATAATATTTGGATATAAAACCTTAAAGTTAAAACTAGTTCTGTGTGTCATGCAAGAATTATTTTGCAACCATCTAGTGATAAGAATATATTCCTTAAGATGTTCGATCTTTGATAAAGGGCAGTTTTTGTTTCTCTATTCTGTTCTTTATCTCAGTGAGACATCTTTCATCTGATGTTATCCATGTGCCCAGATACTTGAACCATTTTCCTCCAATAGGTATCCCTAAATGTGATAGTATATTTATGTATCGGCCATTTCTCTGATACTTCATTTTTTTTTTTGCCTTACAGTTATTCAGGCAGAAGCTCATCTTTTCACATTCTGCACTCTGTGTCTTGACGTGTTCTTATCAAGATGTTGTCATACAATACAAAAGTCTGTTCCCAAAGTGAACTCTCCCATTTCACTCTGTCATCTGATTATTTTTAGGAAGTTGATTTTACCTCCCTTTTTATGCTTTTTACATGCATTCTTTTTCTGTCTTTCTATGCTTCTCTTATGTAGTGGGTTTTTTTTTTCATTTAGTGTGTATGTGGTTGCTTTACTGTTCAATAAATTACAATAGTCTTTTCCTGGTGGTTTTGGTAACTACAGCTGTCAACATTTTAGCATTGATTTTTCTTGTATGTGCCATATTCTCAACATTCTTGTCTCTTTAGATATCAGTGTAGTCTACACATAGCTCATGATCCAATTGTTTGATTGTTTTGCCTTTAACTCATATAAAGCAAATTGGAATGTTAGTTTTCTTGGAAACTGCCAAGCATTCAGGTTTGCTATTGTTAATAATGATCATCTCTTCAATTTGCTCCCTTTTGCCACCAACTCTAGAAAATATGTAAAAGAACTATATCTGTATGAGCATATCCACATGTGTGCTCATGTATAAAGTACCACATATGCCTTACACCCTTGAACAAGGTAAAAATACCATCAAAACCCCTTCGAACACCCTTGAAAATAGCTAGTGAAATTGGTTATTTACCGTGCCAGACATTCTTGTCAAAGTGTGTTTAGAGATATGTGTATCCTTGTTTAATTCTGTTGCCCCATGTATTTCATACATGGTTAGTTGCGTATCCTTTACAGAACTTTGCAAAACCAACCCCAACAGCACCTGGCTGTTGTGTGGTTCTTCTAGGCAAATTTACATCTATTAGTTTGCCATTGCTTTCTGGACTGTCAGCTTTCTTGATACCACTGTCGAAAGCAACGCAATGCGCATGGCCCGCAGCTGGGATCTACCCAGCATCCCGGCACTACAAAACGTTTGCATCGACTTAGCCACCTAGCCGACACAAATGCATGAAAAGGGCATTATACCAGCTGGAGAGACATTGTTTCCATACTGCAAATGGCTGTAGCTGATGGCTTTGAGAAACTGACTGCCAAGATGGTTCTGGGAAGGAAGGATAGTCAGAGATCTAACTGGTCACCTAGCCTTATTATGCTGTGATTTCATAGTATGCACAAGCAAACACTTCACTTATTGAAAGCAATCATTACCATCAAAATACCTTTAACTTTATCAGTTGTGTATTCTTAGGAAATTGAAAGAGCCCTTCTTCCAGAAGACCAGCAGTCATCTGTGACAACAAACCAATGTCCCTGTCCAGGATGTCTAGGCATTCTACAGAAGTTTGCAGAGCAGCCTTTCTTGAACACAGTCAGTATTCATTTGTCAGTTCTCCTTGAAAAACATTGTTGTTGTTGTTGTTCAAACCATGTTCACTGATATGTCACATACATTGCCTACATAGATTGTTATTAGTAACAAACAAGGATGTTAGCTGGTATGCTAGTTTGAAGTAAATGACATTTTATAGAAGTATGTTAAATGTTGATGCATTGCAGAATATATATATTGTACTGTGTCATTTTGTGACTGATGATTACAAGCTGTTGATTCATCTCAAATCAACATCACAACACCATGGGAAGACTCAGTTTTATCTAGTCTTCCTTGACAGATGTTGAAATATGGGAATGACGAATGTTTCTGCAGTTTATTGATTGTGAATGCTTTTATTCTGTCTTCAGCCTCTTGTTTCAGAATGATGCAACAGATAATCATATAGTGCCTTTATCTGTCCCCAGTATCTCCACACTGTAAGAGAGAATACAGTCAGTTTGAGAGATACTGTAAGAGATCCATTGCAGCCGACCTTTGATTGTGGAGACAAGATCTCATGGAAAATCTCCATATGTTTCAAATATTTATTACCATTGTTCCCTATCAGCTGCCTTAATTCATGCTGGCACACACATATTTAGTCATTATCACACATATTTTTTCTTGAATGCAGAAAGTGAGGATAAAGTAGACTAGTCAGATGTAGACTAACTCCAACTTTCTTGATGCACAAAGTGAGGATAAAGTAGACTAGTCAGATGTAGACTGGCTCCAACTTTCTTGATGCACAAAGTGAGGATAAAGTAGACTAGTCAGATGTAGACTGGCTCCAACTTTCTTGATGCACAAAGTGAGGATAAAGTAGACTAGTCAGATGTAGACTGGCTCCAACTTTCTTGATGCACAAAGTGAGGATAAAGTACACTAGTCAGATGTAGACTGGCTCCAACTTTCTTGATGCACAAAGTGAGGATAAAGTAGACTAGTCAGATGTAGACTGGCTCCAACTTTCTTGATGCACAAAGTGAGGATAAAGTAGACTAGTCAGATGTAGACTGGCTCCAACTTTCTTGATGCAGAATGTGAGGATAAAGTAGACTAGTCAGATGTAGACTGGCTCCAACTTTCTTGAAGCACAAAGTGAGGATAAAGTAGACTAGTCAGATGTAGACTGGCTCCAACTTTCTTGATGCACAAAGTGAGGATAAAGTAGACTAGTCAGATGTAGACTGGCTCCAACTTTCTTGATGCAGAATGTGAGGATAAAGTACACTAGTCAGATGTAGACTGGCTCCAACTTTCTTGAAGCAGGAAGTGAGGATAAAGTAGACTAGTCAGATGTAGACTGGCTCCAACTTTCTTGATGCACAAAGTGAGGATAAAGTAGACTAGTCAGATGTAGACTGGCTCCAACTTTCTTGATGCAGAATGTGAGGATAAAGTAGACTAGTCAGATGTAGACTGGCTCCAACTTTCTTGATGCAGAATGTGAGGATAAAGTACACTAGTCAGATGTAGACTGGCTCCAACTTTCTTGAAGCAGAAAGTGTGGATAAAGTAGACTAGTCAGATGTAGACTGGCTCCAACTTTCTTGATGCACAAAGTGAGGATAAAGTAGACTAGTCAGATGTAGACTGGCTCCAACTTTCTTGATGCAGAATGTGAGGATAAAGTACACTAGTCAGATGTAGACTGGCTCCAACTTTCTTGATGCACAAAGTGAGGATAAAGTAGACTAGTCAGATGTAGACTGGCTCCAACTTTCTTGATGCACAAAGTGAGGATAAAGTAGACTAGTCAGATGTAGACTGGCTCCAACTTTCTTGATGCACAAAGTGAGGATAAAGTAGACTAGTCAGATGTAGACTGGCTCCAACTTTCTTGATGCACAAAGTGAGGATAAAGTAGACTAGTCAGATGTAGACTGGCTCCAACTTTCTTGATGCACAAAGTGAGGATAAAGTAGACTAGTCAGATGTAGACTGGCTCCAACTTTCTTGATGCACAAAGTGAGGATAAAGTAGATTAGTCAGATGTAGACTGGCTCCAACTTTCTTGAAGCAGAAAGTGAGGATAAAGTAGACTAGTCAGATGTAGACTGGCTCCAACTTTCTTGATGCACAAAGTGAGGATAAAGTAGACTAGTCAGATGTAGACTGGCTCCAACTTTCTTGATGCAGAATGTGAGGATAAAGTAGACTAGTCAGATGTAGACTGGCTCCAACTTTCTTGATGCACAAAGGGAGGATAAAGTAGACTAGTCAGATGTAGACTGGCTCCAACTTTCTTGATGCACAAAGTGAGGATAAAGTAGACTAGTCAGATGTAGACTGGCTCCAACTTTCTTGATGCACAAAGTGAGGATAAAGTAGACTAGTCAGATGTAGACTGGCTCCAACTTTCTTGATGCACAAAGTGAGGATAAAGTAGACTAGTCAGATGTAGACTGGCTCCAACTTTCTTGATGCACAAAGTGAGGATAAAGTAGACTAGTCAGATGTAGACTGGCTCCAACTTTCTTGATGCAGAATGTGAGGATAAAGTACACTAGTCAGATGTAGACTGGCTCCAACTTTCTTGATGCACAAAGTGAGGATAAAGTAGACTAGTCAGATGTAGACTGGCTCCAACTTTCTTGATGCAGAATGTGAGGATAAAGTACACTAGTCAGATGTAGACTGGCTCCAACTTTCTTGATGCACAAAGTGAGGATAAAGTACACTAGTCAGATGTAGACTGGCTCCAACTTTCTTGATGCACAAAGTGAGGATAAAGTACACTAGTCAGATGTAGACTGGCTCCAACTTTCTTGAAGCAGAAAGTGAGGATAAAGTAGACTAGTCAGATGTAGACTGGCTCCAACTTTCTTGATGCACAAAGTGAGGATAAAGTAGACTAGTCAGATGTAGACTGGCTCCAACTTTCTTGATGCACAAAGTGAGGATAAAGTAGACTAGTCAGATGTAGACTGGCTCCAACTTTCTTGATGCAGAATGTGAGGATAAAGTACACTAGTCAGATGTAGACTGGCTCCAACTTTCTTGAAGCAGAAAGTGAGGATAAAGTAGACTAGTCAGATGTAGACTGGCTCCAACTTTCTTGATGCACAAAGTGAGGATAAAATAGCCTAGTCAGATGTAGACTGGCTCCAACTTTCTTGATGCAGAATGTGAGGATAAAGTACACTAGTCAGATGTAGACTGGCTCCAACTTTCTTGATGCACAAAGTGAGGATAAAGTAGACTAGTCAGATGTAGACTGGCTCCAACTTTCTTGATGCACAAAGTGAGGATAAAGTAGACTAGTCAGATGTAGACTGGCTCCAACTTTCTTGATGCACAAAGTGAGGATAAAGTAGACTAGTCAGATGTAGACTGGCTCCAACTTTCTTGATGCACAAAGTGAGGATAAAGTAGATTAGTCAGATGTAGACTGGCTCCAACTTTCTTGAAGCAGAAAGTGAGGATAAAGTAGACTAGTCAGATGTAGACTGGCTCCAACTTTCTTGATGCACAAAGTGAGGATAAAGTAGACTAGTCAGATGTAGACTGGCTCCAACTTTCTTGATGCAGAATGTGAGGATAAAGTAGACTAGTCAGATGTAGACTGGCTCCAACTTTCTTGATGCACAAAGGGAGGATAAAGTAGACTAGTCAGATGTAGACTGGCTCCAACTTTCTTGATGCACAAAGTGAGGATAAAGTAGACTAGTCAGATGTAGACTGGCTCCAACTTTCTTGATGCACAAAGTGAGGATAAAGTAGACTAGTCAGATGTAGACTGGCTCCAACTTTCTTGATGCACAAAGTGAGGATAAAGTAGACTAGTCAGATGTAGACTGGCTCCAACTTTCTTGATGCACAAAGTGAGGATAAAGTAGACTAGTCAGATGTAGACTGGCTCCAACTTTCTTGATGCAGAATGTGAGGATAAAGTACACTAGTCAGATGTAGACTGGCTCCAACTTTCTTGATGCACAAAGTGAGGATAAAGTAGACTAGTCAGATGTAGACTGGCTCCAACTTTCTTGATGCACAAAGTGAGGATAAAGTAGACTAGTCAGATGTAGACTGGCTCCAACTTTCTTGATGCACAAAGTGAGGATAAAGTAGACTAGTCAGATGTAGACTGGCTCCAACTTTCTTGATGCAGAATGTGAGGATAAAGTACACTAGTCAGATGTAGACTGGCTCCAACTTTCTTGAAGCAGAAAGTGAGGATAAAGTAGACTAGTCAGATGTAGACTGGCTCCAACTTTCTTGATGCACAAAGTGAGGATAAAGTAGACTAGTCAGATGTAGACTGGCTCCAACTTTCTTGATGCAGAATGTGAGGATAAAGTACACTAGTCAGATGTAGACTGGCTCCAACTTTCTTGATGCACAAAGTGAGGATAAAGTAGACTAGTCAGATGTAGACTGGCTCCAACTTTCTTGATGCACAAAGTGAGGATAAAGTAGACTAGTCAGATGTAGACTGGCTCCAACTTTCTTGATGCACAAAGTGAGGATAAAGTAGACTAGTCAGATGTAGACTGGCTCCAACTTTCTTGATGCACAAAGTGAGGATAAAGTAGACTAGTCAGATGTAGACTGGCTCCAACTTTCTTGATGCACAAAGTGAGGATAAAGTAGACTAGTCAGATGTAGACTGGCTCCAACTTTCTTGATGCACAAAGTGAGGATAAAGTAGACTAGTCAGATGTAGACTGGCTCCAACTTTCTTGATGCACAAAGGGAGGATAAAGTAGACTAGTCAGATGTAGACTGGCTCCAACTTTCTTGATGCACAAAGTGAGGATAAAGTAGACTAGTCAGATGTAGACTGGCTCCAACTTTCTTGATGCACAAAGTGAGGATAAAGTAGACTAGTCAGATGTAGACTGGCTCCAACTTTCTTGATGCACAAAGTGAGGATAAAGTAGACTAGTCAGATGTAGACTGGCTCCAACTTTCTTGATGCAGAATGTGAGGATAAAGTAGACTAGTCAGATGTAGACTGGCTCCAACTTTCTTGATGCACAAAGTGAGGATAAAGTAGACTAGTCAGATGTAGACTGGCTCCAACTTTCTTGATGCACAAAGTGAGGATAAAGTAGACTAGTCAGATGTAGACTGGCTCCAACTTTCTTGATGCACAAAGTGAGGATAAAGTAGACTAGTCAGATGTAGACTGGCTCCAACTTTCTTGATGCACAAAGTGAGGATAAAGTAGACTAGTCAGATGTAGACTGGCTCCAACTTTCTTGATGCACAAAGTGAGGATAAAGTAGACTAGTCAGATGTAGACTGGCTCCAACTTTCTTGATGCACAAAGTGAGGATAAAGTAGACTAGTCAGATGTAGACTGGCTCCAACTTTCGTGCTGGTAGCTCATGAAATTGAGTTGTTGCTCACTGCACTTTCCATCTTAGAGTATTCATTTCTAATGCCTTGACACCCTGCATGAACAGAGTAGTAGGTCTGCTTCATTATCAAATATGGCCAGTCTTAGGAGGAAAGGCAACTATGTAGAATTGAAATACACAGGGACGACAATCTAAAACATTTTAGTCAGAGTATTTATGATTGAACAAAGCCACAGGCATACTATACTACAGATTGTAATTATGGTCCAGTCATAATTGTAGTTGCAGTTGTCTGATCAGATCTCTTCAGTTAAAGAAAAAATTGTATACCAATATATGCTGTTAGATGACTAGAAGTATACAATAATAAATGTTCTGTTTCTTTATGTAGATTGTGAAGAAAGTACGTGAAGATGGCTACCAGTTTTCAGCCCACCAGTGCTCGCTGATTCTACCAGTGTCTCTTGCTATACGGCAGAAGGCTTTGCTTCTTTATCTGCAGAAGAAGTACCCGTAAGGCTGGATGTTATGAAATCTCCTCTTTAATTTAAAATGTTTGTTGTTGTTGCAATTCATTAGATTGGTCGAGAGAGACTAATGGTGAGGATCTGAGTTGCCAACTCCACCTCCTGTACTGCATTATTTAAAAAAAATGGCCTGCTAGGAATTTTGTTTGTATTTCATAGTTGTTAGCTCAGGTGGATGATAGACCTAGCTACAGTAACATTTGTATTTTATAGTTGTTAGCTCAGGTGGATGATAGACCTGGCTACAGTAACATTTGTATTTCATAGTTGTTAGCTTAGGTGGATGATAGACCTGGCTACAGTAACACTTGTATTTCATAGTTGTTAGCTTAGGTGGATGATAGACCTGGCTACAGTAACACTTGTATTTCATAGTTGTTAGCTCAGGTGGATGATAGACCTAGCTACAGTAACATTTGTATTTTATAGTTGTTAGCTTAGGTGGATGATAGACCTGGCTACAGTAACACTTGTATTTCATAGTTGTTAGCTCAGGTGGATGATAGACCTGGCTACAGTAACACTTGTATTTAATAGTTGTTAGCTTAGGTGGATGATAGACCTGGCTACAGTAACACTTGTATTTCATAGTTGTTAGCTTAGGTGGATGATAGACCTGGCTACAGTAACACTTGTATTTCATAGTTGTTAGCTCAGGTGGATGATAGACCTAGCTACAGTAACACTTGTATTTCATAGTTGTTAGCTTAGGTGGATGATAGACCTGGCTACAGTAACACTAGTATTTCATAGTTGTTAGCTCAGGTGGATGATATACCTGGTTACAGTAACGTTTGTATTTTATAGTTGTTAGCTTAGGTGGATGATAGACCTGGCTACAGTAACACTTGTATTTTATAGTTGTTAGCTCAGGTTATGATAAACCTGGCTACAGTAACATTTGTATTTCATAGTTGTTAGCTCAGGTGGATGATAGACCTGGCTACATTAACGTTTGTATTTCAGAGTTGTTAGCTTAGGTGGATGATAGACCTGGCTACAGTAACACCTTTTGGAATGTATCTTTTTGACCACATCTTTAAGGACAGAACGCAGAACGTGCGTTTTTTAAAGGTGATAGGTTGGAGCTTAGTGCTTTTAGTTTTTATATTTTTTGATTTATTTCCACCAGATAGACAGGCCGGCATGCTAGACCCTGTTCAGCCATGACACCCTTATAATTTTTACTTGGTTTTAGTATTGCTTTTTGGCAGGGTCTGATGTTTGTTGTTTGAATTCATCTCCAGTGATGTCTATAAGGGGAAAGAGGGTTCCATTGCCTCAGTGAAAGATGTATGGAAATGGAGCTGTGGTCACAGAATGGCAAGTCTGCTGAATGCCAAGTTTCAAAACAGGGTAAACAATTGTTGTGTTGCCTGTGTATTATTTATTACTGTGAAAGCTGGACACTGAGAACAGCATCTATGCCTTTAAGTGAAAATATCAGGGCAAACTGGCGTCCGCTAGAACATGATACCAATGCTTTGTTAACAGATACATACTTGAGGTATATGTAGTCCTAATTGAGATGCCTCCATTGATGTCAAATGTTGAGACTTCACATTAGCTCTGTTCTCTGTGTGGTTTTAGACCTGATTGTTGTCACTTTCAATCAAGTGTAATTGATTTATTTGAATCTTTCAATAATGTGATGGTGTATGGTACAGTATAAAACATGGATCGGGCAGCAGAACTAGTGGGTAGCATGTTTGTGTGCCAGCTCAGTAATCCTTGTCAATGCTGAGTTGTTTTTGTTTCCCCAATGAACCTGTGCTGCCAGTCTGAAACGTGTCAGAAAGTTTCCTGGACAGTAAAGATGACCACCCTGATATAGAGCACACACCCATCCAGTTTCCATTGGTAACTACAAATAATGATTAGCATCATAAAGCCATACACGTTTTTCCCCCACTATTAATATAAGACCAAATCATTGATCTAGCCAGGCCACACATTGTATTGATTGTTTGTCAGAGTATATCATTTGGACACTTCCTGTTACAAACATTTCAGCCTTGCTGTGATTCTTTTTCAGAGTGAGTTTGACATTTTGATGACATTCAGTTACAAAGACTCTGACAGAGAATGTGCATTTCTGTGAGTAATATTTTTATACTAACGTTACGCATTGTTCAGGAAAGTCTCTCTCTCTCTCTCTCTCTCTCTCTCTCTCTCTTCTCTCTCTCTCTCTCACTTACTCATATTCCCCCCCCCCTCCTCCACTGTCTCTTACTCCCTCTTTGTTTGGGGTGGGGACAGACATGCATGTTCATACACATGACAGATGGTGTATGAATCTATGTATTTATTGTATAAATACTTTTATGTTGTGCTTAGTATACATATTATGTATATTGCAGAATGAACATAACATCTATTATTCATTAAATACAGTTGCTGTGTGGAAGGACCAGGTGTTATAAAAATTTTGTTTTAAAAATCTTATATGTGCACACAGATATAACTTGATGAATTCAGATTCAGAGAACTTTTAATTGATGACAGTTATGTGAGTATTTTCAGCTACTAATGCTCTCTAACGTTTGCATTTAAATTTTACATATTGACAAATGTCCTTTTCTCGTTCACCGTCTGCAGTAAACTCAGGCAGACAAGTTCTGGTTGTTCATCCAGTTCTGCACTTAGGTCTTGTTCCAGAGCTTCAGTTTTGCATGCATATCCGTTTTACAGATCTGACTTATTTGTATACAGACTGTTAGTTCAGGCAGATGTACTCTGGCTTTGAAGGGTACATGACTAATTAGTCGACTTTTACAACAGCCTCGGTAGAAGGGGAGTAGGTCAGTACTTTATTTTCCGCAAAATGGTGGCTGCAACCAACACGAAGGCTGTGGAACTATTCTAATTTATTGATTGGTTTGTGTTACAGTTTATTGATTGGTTTGTGTTACAGTTTATTGATTGGTTTGTGTTACAGTTTATTGATTGGTTTGTGTTACAGTTTATTGATTGGTTTGTGTTACAGTTTAGATGTCTTCCCAGAAACTTTCAAAAAGAGAAAACAGAGAAAGGTAAGATTCAACTTGTAATGTAATCATCTCTGTATGTCATGTAATCATCTCTGTATGTCATGTAATCATCTCTCTATGTAATGTAATCATCTCTGTCTGTCATGTTGGCTCTGTAGGACTTGAACAAGTTTTGAAAATTCTGTTAGATCTCAGTTTTCTTCTTTCTGAAAGTGAGGTCTCATCCTTCCTGTAGTGGGTGCTTAGAGGTAACTTGTGTGAGATAGTCAGAGTACTTTGTCTGTGTATTACTAGTTGTTAATTGTGGTAGTATGTTCTTCATCTAGTGCAGTGTTCTTAACCTGTCGGTTGCCACCCTTTATGAGTTGAACAACCCTTTCACGGGAGTTGCCAATGGCCACTGGAAAACACATTAATTGAATTTGTGAAGTAGCAACGAAAATACTTTTTTTTTTATTTGTGTGTTTGTTAAAGTGTTTATTAAATGGATGCTACCTTGCTTAGAGTATCCTGCATGTTATCTTTGTATTGTTTCTCACATGTCTTGTTATTATATATATTTAGTTCAATTCAATATGTTACCCATTTACAGTCATACTACACTCTGTTGTGTTTTCTGCTTCTTAAAATTATAGCTTCTGATTTTTGTGATTTATAGTTTTAGTTCTCTCCCCTCCCACCCCATGGATTGCTATGCCTATTAGTGTTTTCAGAATATTTTATTGTTTTGCTGCAAGCACTATTCTCTCCATATAGTATAGATTAGTTATATTTAGTCCTCAAGTTTCCACACCTGATTATCTCTTACTTACTTACTTAGTCGCTCCTCTTCTACCTTGGGGTGTAGAAGTTTGCCAGAGAGATCGCCAGACGTCTCTATCAGCAGTTTTATTTCTGGCTTTGTACCATTCCAGTCCTCTGTCAGTTAGGGACTATCGGATGTTGTCTTCCTAGCGCACCCTGGGTCGTCCTGGAGGTCTGGTTCCCTGGTTCTTAGCCTCCCATGCCTGCCATGGTGGCCGATTTTCTCCCATTCTGCATACATGTCCAAACTATCGTAACTGTGACTGATCCACTCGGGTTTGTAAGGACTGGGTATCAAGATCGTGACGTATTGTCTGATTGCGGCCTTTGTCCCTTCTTGCCACTTGGACCACCTTTCTCAGATATCTCATATCCGAGGCCTGCAGCTGGCTTCTGTGAGCTGTTGTCATTGCCCATGACTCACACCCATAGGACAGGACTGGTACATAGGTAAAGTGGTAAACAGCCATTTTCGTCCTCTTGCTAATTTCTCTTTTGCTAAGAAACCCTCGGTTAATGGCCTGGAAGAGTCTCCCAGCAGCTGCTTTTCGTGTTGCCAGCTCAGTCTTAATGCCTCCATTTCGGTCTAATACAACTCCAAGGTATTTGAACTGGTTAACCTGCTCCAATGCATACTGTCCCATCATGATCTGGTGTTTCTTCTCCTCTCTTGAGATCACCATGGTTTTAGTTTTGGAGATACTGATGGTCATCCCTCTCTTTTCAAGCTCTTCCTTCCAGACAAGTAAGTTGGACTGATGGTGTGCCTCTGATTTAGCTATCATATATCATTTAGCTGATATACAGATTGGTCTCATCTTCCAGTACCCTACTGAGTACTTCTTTGTCTTCTCCTTACAGGTCTTGATGACATCATCCATCATAAGAATGAAGAGGTAAGGTGAGAGAATATCACCTTGTCTAACACCGCTGGTGGTCTTAAATTCTTCTGACTTTTGGTCTGCTGTTCTTACATAATTTCTGCAGCTTTTGTAGAAACTCTGTATTTCACTGATCAGGGTTGCTGGAATGTTTTTCCCCGCCAAGCAGCCCCAGAGTATGTTCCAGGGTACTTTGTCAAATGCCTTTTCCAGATCCAAAAAACATAAGTGCATTTCACTCTTATATTCAAGGGTTTTTTCACTCATCTGTCTCAGTGTGAAGATAAGGTCTTGAGTACTTCGGTTTGCTCTGAAGCCACATTGGGCCTCGTCCAGCTGTGGCTCTACCAGACTTCTAAGTCTCTGCTCGAGAATTCTAGAGTAACTTTTACCAGGAACGCTGAGGAGGGAAATGCCTCTGTGGTTTTTACATTGTCTGTTATCAAATTTTTTAAATATAGGTATAATGATGGCAATCTCCCAATCTTTTGGTATAGTTTTACTACACCAGGCTGCCTGCAGAACCTTCAGTAGAAGGTGCTCACCTGCGACTCCCATATATTTGACCATCTCTGGTGTTATACCATCATGACCTGCTGCTTTTTCCAGCTTAATCTGCTCAATAGCTGCCTTCAACTCTACCATCCTGATGTTATCATCCTCATGGATGATTTCATTCTCGGTAGTGAGGTCCATTATTTCTGGGTCATGACTTCCCTCAATGCCAAGGAGCTCTGAGAAGTATTCTTTCCATCTTTCCATAATATCATTTGTAGTAGTAAGCAGAGCCCCTTCCTTGTCTTTTTTGAATTTCAGTGGGCACTCTTTCTCCTTCGTCATGTTCTTGAGGGTCTTGTAGAACAGTTTTTGATTTTCTCTTGCATTCTTTTCCAACTTTTCTCCAAACTCTTCCCATGATTTCTGTTTTGCTTTAAGCACAATACTTTTGGTCTCTGTTCTGAGTGCCACATATTGTTTATATTTCTCTATTTCTTCAGCTGTGTTCCTGGCTGCCAGGTATTGCTTCCATGCCCTTTTCTTTTCTCCTATTTTCAGTTTGACTTCTTCTGTCCACCAAGGTGTCCTATGTCCCCGCCTTCCACCTGGGACGTCACCACATGCTTCTACTGCAGCTGCTGTGAGGATATTCTTGAATCTGCACCAGAGGGTTTCAGTGTCCTCTGATGGTTCTTCTTTAGTTCCAATTGCTTTCACTATAAGCTCCTAGTTATCTAGCCCTAATATCTGGCTCTCTTAGCCTGTATGCCTTAATCCTCATCCCTTCTTGGTTGCTTGGTTTCTTGCATGGTTGTTGGTGTTGCCTTGTTGGAGCAGTTCTTTCAGTTGTTCTCTTTATTGTGACCAGATAGTGGTCACTTCCAATCTCTGGTCCTCTCATGACTCTGGCGTCTCTAATAAACTTGAATGAACTTTTCCTAACTATGGCATAGTCAGTAATGGATTTTTCATTCTTTGAAGGTTCACATCTTGTGTATGCATGTATACGCTTGTGGGGGAATTTTGTGTTTGTAATGACAAGGTTCTGTTCCCTGCAGAATCTAAGAAGCCGCTTGCCATTATCATTCAAAACATCTTCACCATATCTCCCGATCACTCCACCCCTACTAGGAGGATAATTTCATCGTGACAGTCATCTATGGTCCTTTGGAGCAGTTCAAAGAATTCTTCTTTAACATTAACTCACTCATCTTCATTTGGCCCGTACACAATAACAATATTGATAATTTTATCTTCTTCTTTCAGATCTAACACCATAATTCGCTCCGAGATAAATTTCCATCCATTTATGTTACTAGCTTGGTTCCTGGCCACAATACAGCCAACACCTTCCTTAGCTCTCTCCGTCATAGGGACACCACTGTAGAGCAGCATACTTCCATCATGATCTGTGATTCCTTGCCCCTTTTTCTTGGTTTCAGTCAGAGCCAAGACTCCTAATTTCGCTTTCCTTATCTCCCCTACTAACTCGTTTTCCTTCCCGTTAATGCCTCTTATGTTCCATGTTCCATAAATCGTAGTCCGTTAGCCATGCCAGTTCGTCGCCGTTAAGATCCGTCCGGTTTTCTCTCTGTAGTTACTTGTAATCATAGTTTAAGGCAAACAGGTGATTGGCCTGTTGTGCTGATTATCTCTAATAAGTTTAATTATAGGCTCGCTGTTTAGGACTATTAGTCTTCCCTGGTGTTTTACTGTGATTGACAGCCGTTCACAAAATCACAAACTGTCTTGTTTTATTGGATTAACCCTGAATGATGTCAGTCGTGTAGATGTTATCTTAATCAGCAAGCATGGTTTTTAACAAAACTCTGTATCTTTTGTCTTTCAGTTTGGCTTTGAGACTTTCACAAGATCGAATGTCATGGCCTCCTTACAGCAAATGGATGGTTCTAAGTTTGAGGAGTGGGTAGACATTTTGTTGTGCCCCTGCTTACAGTGTTTAGTTTGCAAACATTTACAGATACGTTGCTAGAGGATTCTGCCTTACTGGTGAATCACCTGGCATAATAAACATAGTATTTATGTCACTTCGCTACTTTATGAAATGAGGTGACCAGTTACTTTTTTTTTAAATCTTGAAAAGAGAGAGTTGAGTGAGAATCAGAGAAAAAAGGTTTTTCCGTGTGTAGCAATATTAGGGCTGGAACAGTAGCTGAGAACATTTTCATATCTTTAAGAAATTGTGAATCATAAACATAGAAAAAATATTCCAGGCAGTAATGTGTAGATATATTTCAGCACTCTACTGTCTCTGATCTATTCAATATGTACAGTGAGATAATAATTAGATCCACTTGATATCTGTTCAATATGTACAGTGAGGTAATAATTAGAAGCACTTGAGATATCTATTCAATATGCACAGTGAGGTAATAATTAGGTCCACTTGAGATATCTATTCAATATGTACAGTGAGGTAATAATTAGATCCACTTTAGATATCTATTCAATATGCACAGTGAGGTAATAATTAGATCCACTTGAGATATTTTTTCAATATGTACAATGAGGTAATAATTAGATCCACACAAGATATCTATTTAATATGTAAGGTGAGATAATAATTATATCCACACAAGATATCTATTAATATGTACAGTGAGGTAATAATTAGATCCACACAAGATCTATATTCAATGTGTAAGGCAAGGTAATAATTAGATCCACACAAGATATCTTTTCAATATGTACAATGAGGTAATAATTAGAGGTGAGATAATAATTATATAAGATATCTATTAATATGTACAGTGAGGTAAATTAGATCCACACGTAAGCAATATAATTATTCAAATATGTATTCATTGTGTACAGTGAGATTAATAATTAGAGGCTAATAATTAGATCCACACAAGATATCTATTCAATGTGTACAGTGAGGCTAATAATTAGATCCACACAAGATATCTATTCAATGTGTACAGTGAGGCTAATAATTAGATCCACACAAGATATCTATTCTGTTGAGGTAATAATCCACACAAGATATAGGTAATAATTAGATCCACACAAGATATCTATTCAATGTGTACAGTGAGGTAATAATTAGATCCACACAAGATATCTATTCAATATGTATAGTTAGATTAATAATTAGATCCACACAAGATATCTATTCAATATGTATAGTTAGATTAATAATTAGATCCACACAAGATATCTATTCAATATGTAAGGCGAGGTAATAATTAAATCCACACAAGATATCTATTCAATATGTAAGGCGAGGTAATAATTAAATCCACACAAGATATCAATTCAATATGTAAGGCGAGGTAATAATTCGAGCCAAACAAGATATCTATTCAATATGTACAGCGAGATAAAAATTAGAGCCAAACAAGACAAGCCAGACTTTATGTTGTTCAGTAAAATCTCTCTGAGATAAACTGATGACACAGTTTTGGTTACAGAAATAAAATGTGTGTCACAAGAAATTGATGATAGAAAATTATTACAAAAGTCTTAGTCTGCATATAGTTTTTTTTTTTTTTTTTCAAATGTGTAATTGTTGCTATTACAAAGAGAAACTGTCTTCCAGATTGCTACAACATAGTAAATGGGACTAATCTGGAGAAAGCTAATGTATTCAGTATTTGAGTACCTTGGTAACCCCTGAAATCTACTCTGTGCAATATATTTTTGTCATCTGAGCTGAGGCAACGGTTCTGAAGAACTTGATTCTGATGTACACAAGTGAATCATTGGTTGATGTTGCACAGAACTGGAGAGGTCTTTGAGAGATGCTAGTTTTTATTTTACAGGGAAAACTGAAGTAAATTACTTTTTCACGCCCTTAGTCATATAGGGCTAGACCTACATTTTGTACACCACTTGGCACTCGTTGGTTGATATGGTCATCATCATCCTGGCCGCCTTTATTGTTGTGGCCAAATTAAAATTATTGATCAAACTTATTGTGCCTGCTGATCATGCAGTTATTTTAGCTACATGTGTTTCCTGACTGCGTGTGGATAAAGTGAATGTGATGTAAACAATCTCATGAGTTAATGGATAAAGTTGATGTGATGTAAACAATCTCATGAGTTAATGGATAAAGTGGATGTGATGTAAACCATCTCATGAGTTAATGGATAAAGTGGATGTGATGTAAACAATCTCATGAGTTAATGGATAAAGTGGATGTGATGTAAACATTCTCAGGAGTTCATGGATAAAGTGGATAACATGTAAACAATCTCATGAGTAAATGGATAAAGTTGATGTGATGTAAACAATCTCATGAGTTAATGGATAAAGTGGATTTCATGTAAACAATCTCATGAGTTAATGGATAAAGTGGATGTGATGTAAACAATCTCATGAGTTAATGGATAAAGTGGATGTGATGTAAACAATCTCAGGAGTTAATGGATAAAGTGGATGTCATGTAAACAATCTCATGAGTTCATGGGTAAAGTGGATGTGATCTAAACAATCTCAGGAGTTCATGGATAAAGTTGATGTGATGTAAACAATCTCACGAGTTCATGGGTAAAGTGGATGTGATGTAAACAATCTCATGAGTTCATGGGTAAAGTGGATGTGATGTAAACAATCTCACGAGTTAATGGATAAAGTGGATGTGATGTAAACAATCTCAGGAGTTAATGGATAAAGTGGATGTGATGTAAACAATCTCATGAGTTAATGGATAAAGTGGGTGTCATGTAAACAATCTCAGGAGTTAATGGATAAAGTGGATGTCATGTAAACAATCTCAGGAGTTAATGAATAAAGTTGATATGATGTAAACAATCTCAGGAGTTAATGGATAAAGTGTATGTGATGTAAACAATCTCAGGAGTTAATGGATAAAGTTGATGTGATGTAAACAATCTCATGAGTTAATGGATAAAGTGGATTTCATGTAAACAATCTCATGAGTTAATGGATAAAGTTGATGTGATGTAAACAATCTCATGAGTTAATGGATAAAGTGGATGTGAATTAAACAATCTCAGGAGTTAATGGATAAAGTGAATGTCATGTAAACAATCTCATGAGTTCATGGGTAAAGTGGATGTGATGTAAACAATCTCAGGAGTTCATGGATAAAGTTGATGTGATGTAAACAATCTCACGAGTTCATGGGTAAAGTGGATGTGATGTAAACAATCTCATGAGTTCATGGGTAAAGTGGATGTGATGTAAACAATCTCACGAGTTAATGGATAAAGTTGATGTGATGTAAACAATCTCATAAGTTAATGGATAAAGTGGATACCATGTTTACAATCTCATAAGTTAATGGATAAAGTGGATGTGATATAAACAATCTCAGGAGTTAATGGATAAAGTGGATGTGATGTAAACAATCTCACGAGGTAATGGATAAAGTTGATGTGATGTAAACAATCTCATGAGTTAACGGATAAAGAGGATGTGATGTAAACAATCTCAGGAGTTAATGGATGAAGTGGATGTGATATAAACAATCTCAGGAGTTAATGGATAAAGTGGATGTCATGTAAACAATCTCATGAGTTAATGGATAAAGTGGATGTCATGTAAACAATCTCAGGAGTTAATGGATAAAGTGGATGTGATATAAACAATCTCAGGAGTTAATGGATAAAGTGGATGTGATGTAAACAATCTCATGAGTTAATGGATAAAGTGGATGTCATGTAAACAATCTCATGAGTTAATGGATAAAGTGGATGTGATGTAAACAATCTCATGAGTTAATGGATAAAGTGGATGTGATGTAAACAATCTCAGGAGTTAATGGATAAAGTGGATGTGATGTAAACAATCTCATGAGTTAATGGATAAAGTGGATGTGATGTAAACAATCTCAGGAGTTAATAGATAAAGTGGATGTCATGTAAACAATCTCAGGATTTAATGGATAAAGTTGATGTGATGTAAACAATCTCAGGAGTTAATGGATAAAGTGGATGTGATGTAAACAATCTCATGAGTTAATGGATAAAGTGGATGTGATGTAAACAATCTCAGGAGTTAATGGATAAAGTGGATGTGATGTAAACAATCTCATGAGTTAATGGATAAAGTGGATGTGATGTAAACAATCTCAGGAGTTAATGGATAAAGTGGATGTGATGTAAACAATCTCAGGAGTTAATGGATAAAGTGGATGTGATGTAAACAATCTCAGGAGTTAATGGATAAAGTGGATGTCATGTAAACAATCTCATGAGGTAATGGATAAAGTTGATGTGATATAAACAATCTCATGAGGTAATGGATAAAGTGGATGTGATGTAAACAATCTCAGGAGTTAATGGATAAAGTTGATGTGATGTAAACAATCTCAGGAGTTAATGGATAATCAGGAGTTAATGGATAAAGTTGATATGATGTAAACAATCTCAGGAGTTAATGGATAAAGTGTATGTGATGTAAACAATCTCAGGAGTTAATGGATAAAGTGTATGTGATGTAAACAATCTCAGGAGTTAATGGATAAAGTGGGTGTCATGTAAACAATCTCAGGAGTAAATGGATAAAGTGGATGTGATGTAAACAATCTCAGGAGTTAATGGATAAAGTGGGTGTCATGTAAACAATCTCACGAGTTAATGGATAAAGTGGATGTCATGTAAACAATCTCAGGAGTTAATGGATAAAGTGGATGTGATGTAAACAATCTCAGGAGTTAATGGATAAAGTGTATGTGATGTAAACAATCTCAGGAGTTAATGGATAAAGTGGATGTGATGTAAACAATCTCAGGAGTTAATGGATAAAGTGGATGTCATGTAAACAATCTCATGAGGTAATGGATAAAGTGGATGTGATATAAACAATCTCATGAGTTAATGGATAAAGTGGATGTGATGTAAACAATCTCACGAGTTAATGGATAAAGTGGATGTGATGTAAACAATCTCATGAGGTAATGGATAAAGTGGATGTGATGTAAACAATCTCAGGAGTTAATGGATAAAGTTGATATGATGTAAACAATCTCACGAGTTAATGGATAAAGTGGATGTGATGTAAACAATCTCAGGAGTTAATGGATAAAGTGGATGTGATGTAAACAATCTCAGGAGTTAATGGATAAAGTGGATGTGATGTAAACAATCTCATGAGGTAATGGATAAAGTGGATGTGATGTAAACAATCTCATGAGTTAATGGATAAAGTGGATGTCATGTAAACAATCTCATGAGGTAATGGATAAAGTGGATGTGATGTAAACAATCTCATGAGTTAATGGATAAAGTGGATGTGATGATCTCACGAGTTAATGGATAAAGTGGATGTGATGTAAACAATCTCAGGGAGTAATGGATAAATGTGATGTAAACAATCTCATGAGGTAATGGATAAATGGTGATGTAAACAATCTCAGGAGTTAATGGATAAAGTTGATATGATGTAAACAATCTCACGAGTTAATGGATAAAATGGATGTGATGTAAACAATCTCAGGAGTTAATGGATAAAGTGGATGTGATATAAACAATCTCATGAGTTAATGGATAAAGTGGATGTGATATAAACAATCTCATGAGGTAATGGATAAAGTGGATGTGATATAAACAATCTCAGGAGTTAATGGATAAAGTGGATGTGATGTAAACAATCTCATGAGTTATCCCTGAAACTACTTTCAGCTGTTCCAGTTGCCCACCACCTATCCCTACAGAAGATTGCAGCGTGGACATTTCCTGCAGTCATAATGCTGTATTTATTGCAGGTAGTAGACACTTTTCTCTCATTCGCTGCAACTATGTATTTTTTTTATTTTCATAGCTATAAAACTAATATTAACCTTTTGTTTCATGTGTAATCATTTATATCCAATTTGTCCACTGCAATTTGTGATTTCATATTATCACAGTAGTAGCACATATGGTTTTTATCACCCAGTCAGTCATAAAGTTAGCCAGTTTTATTCAATGCTTCCTGATAATTTGTGAAATATTTTGTTGAAGAAAAAAGTTAAAGATATAAGATATCTAGCTTATTTTGCCATGACCTGGAATATGTGAAAGCTGATCATTTCATAACATTACTGGCCGGATCTACTTGGTATTCCTTTTATCTTAGCTTAGTACCACTTTCAGAGGCGTCTGATACTTCTGTGCCCACCCACACATTGGTGCTTTTGCCATCAGATGTACATTGTAACAAAATAGATGCATTTCGGCTAGGGATGTGTCCATTATTTAATGGATCTTGTCAACTCATGTGTTCTTTTCATATTTGAAAATGTGTTATTTCTTTAAAAAAAAAATTTTTTTTTTAAATGTAAACTTATCAAACGTGCCACTGTTAGTAACTTACGTTGGCATTTAATTAATTGCAGTCACTAAATGACTGTTTTGGCTGTATAAATATGAATCACCATTAGACTTTCTGCTAAATTTCTCTGCACTGTTAGTGGTAAGATTATATGTTAATGAGGAAATGTCACATGATTGTAACTTTGAGAATAGGAAAAACCTACCAGGTCTCTCTGAATTATTATCTGTAATAAAGCAAGTAATCAAATTATCTTGGAGAAACAATACAAAAGGTGCCGGAGAAGTTGGTAGAGGAAGGCATCAACTTGGAATAGAAGCTAACAGTAAAACCACCACTGGCAGCTTTCTGTTCTTTATGCCAAATACCAACAGGTATACCAGTATGGGGCATAACTTTGTTATATCCTAGACATCAGACCTCTGGCGCCTTGGACCGAGGAACATTGTGGGGACAACAAAACAGAGTTGTTATCAGCTGTTCTGTGTTTCTCAGTGTGTGTTCATATTTCAGGCATGATGTGTTGAAGTACTTGCTGTCAGTGTACCTAAGCAGGCCTTACGACTAGAGCCCAAGGAGAGCCATTGCAGTTGTCTGTATCTCTTTTGTTGACAGATACAAAACAGTTACATTTTTGGAATCACGTACACATTCTCAGTACGCTAACTTATCTCAGTGTTTATTATATTTCACATTAATCAATCACATCCTTCATGTCTTGCTATCTCTGTCAAACATTATTATCAGGCAGATACCAAAAGTACAGCAGAGAACTGAGCCAGACACCGTGGGTTGTTGATGGGAAAAGGATCATGGAGGGATCTGTACAGGAGCTGATTTGTGAGCACATTGTGAACACATTCAAGCCCACAGGTATATCATTTCTTGTAGCTTCATTTCAAAGCATGCGTGTTCGTATCTGTTGTTTATAGTTTGCAAGTGATAAAAATACAATAGATAGCAGCATGTGTTCAAGTAATGACAACTATAGAAATTATGTAGAATATTTATTTTCAGTTTAGGGAAAGACCTTTTTAACACCATCTGTGCACCAGGTATATCATGCTAGACAGAAATTTTGGATGTAAAGGTGCTATAGGTCATCCTTACACCACTTACCTCCCTATGATATTTTTTTAATACAGTTATCCTTACACTGGTCAGCTTCCTAGGATATTTCTTTGATGTGGTCAGCCTTACACCACTCACCTTCCTAGGACACTTTCTTTGTGTGGTCATCATTACACCACTTACCTTCCTATGATATTTCTTTAATACAGTTATCCTTACACTGGTCAGCTTCCTTGGATATTTCTTTTATATGGTCAGCCTTACACCACTCACCTTTCTAGGGCATTTCCTTGATGTGGTTATCCTCACATACGTTACATTCCTAGGACCTTTCCTTCTGCCTATTTTAGGCTGGTCAACCTGGAGTCAAGGTCAGTTGGAAAAATCAACTGATATACATTTGAACCCAAGACCTTGAGATCAGCAGATGGGCATGTAGCTGTTGTGCTTACTTGGGGCCTTGTGAACATTTGCAGAGAAAGATAATAAGGCAAGGATCTTAACCATGAAAACACAGATAAAATTTATAAAACAACGGTAGAAGATATCACAAAGTTCAGAAAGAGAAAGTGGGACAACTATGTACTTCTACAGATAAGACCGCTGACTTTATTAACTAATATCCATAAACCTTTACTAAGCAACAGACCATACAGTAATACTGTGTGTAGGTAGTACTCTATGTAAATGTGTGTATTATTGTAGATGTGTATGTTGTATGTGTGTATTAGAATAGAAGAATATGTTTTATGTGTGAATTATTGTAGATGTGTTTTGTTGTATGTGTGAATTATTGTAAATGTGTATGTTGTATGTGTGTATTATTATAGATGTGTATGTTGTATCTGTGTATTGTAGATGTGTATTTTGTATGTGTGTATTATTGTAGATGAGTGTGTTGTATGTATGTTACTGTAAATGTGTGTGTTGCATGTGTGTATTACTGTAGATGTGTATATTTGTTGAATCTGCACTAAAACACATCTTGTTCTCACATTTGTAGAGCATCGTTTCTCCTCATCGGGACGGGAAGATGTGGACGTGAGAATGCTGGGAATTGGTCGGCCATTTGTCGTGGAGCTAATAAACCCCCACTGTGTCACATTTTCTAGACAAGATATCGCAGATTTGCAGGAGGTAGGGACTTTATTTTTTTGGGGATTTGGTAGTGTCTTGCTGAGTCTACATACTCAGATAAAGAGATAACGCTTTTTTAGAGATAAAGTAAAATGTTAAAGTACACATTACACTGTGGGTAGAATTTAAAAAAATATAATGCATATCAGACGCTGCTTGGAACAAAAAGAGTTAAGAAAACACCAGGGAGACGGATCTCACGGGACCCGCCTAGTTTCTTTCAAGAGAAAATTGGGTGATCAACTTTAGACTGATAGCAGCAGAGTCTTAAATGTCATGTTTAGTGAACAGACAGTTGGGCTTGAGGTGCATGAGTGACGTTCAACCCCATCAGGACTGTACATTGAGCGATAAACAGTGTCACAAGTGCCACCATTCAGATGAGAATTCCCTCAGCATAAGTCCCAGAAACCCTATTCAGCCATTAGGTTACATTAGGTTCCCGACATTCGCCAGGGTGGGGAATTTGTTGCGGTGTATGTCTAAGTGACAAACAGATGGTAGGTGTCGGCTCCTTGTGAGATGCAGTGATAACGTGGGTTATTTGGTCAGTATTATGCTGACTTCCATTTGTAAAAGACCCTTTTCCACATTGTTATGTGTATTGAGCATATAGGGCTAGGCCTGTATTTTATAGACCTGTCATTGACACTTTTGACCACCTTTACTTCCCCAAACATTTCCTGATACCATTGTCAAGGCTGGGTTGACCTGGTTAGGCCAGGTAAAGTTTAACAATGTGTGACCACTGGGTCAACAAACAAGTATGTTGGACACAGCTGCAACAGCACCTCCATGTCTGTATAATGGTGCTTGTAATTTAAGCCACTAAAAGGGGTCATTTTCTCCTTTGGTAGATTGTCTCATTATCTAAAATATATTTTGCAATTCGGATGGTTGATATTAATTACTTAGCATAATAAATATGTAAACAAATCAAGTTTCAAATTGAGGTTAAGCGTGAACTTTGTGCAGGTTGGCTGAAGTATGCCAAACGAAGAATGCTTATGAAGAGTTTTAAAATTCATGAAGAAAAAGGAAAGGTTGTTTAGATAAGAGAGTTTTGTTTTGTTTTCGATCGGGTCTTGTGGAGGTTGGAGTGCCTGAACTGAACATATCCTGATAAGAACAAATGAATTTATTCAAGCCACTAGCCTGAATAAACTTGGCTAATCAGTCCATGACAACATGGAATGGAGGCAAAAATTTCAGCTGTGCTGTGCAGTTTCTGAATTCTGATTTGAGAGCAGTGAAGTGCAAGCATGAGATCTACCCACCATGAGAATCTTGTATATTTGGTGAGAGTAAGTAAATGCCTGTAAACATAGCTAGATCCATAGACTGTATATACCACTGGCCCATTGATTGAGAGGACATTGTTTTAGAATAAACTGTGTCATTATCAGTTCAGTGTTCCTCAGTGTTTGTTCCTTTTCAAGCTTGCAGTGTTCATGTATCTGTCAATGTTTCTGAGAAGGCTACATGATTAAAGCCAAGGAGACTCATTGCAGCTGCACACATTTCAAAATGAACTATTTTAGTATTTGTATGAAGACTGTTGGTTCCTTGACTCTCAGACAGATGCACGTCTACTTCGAAGGAAATATCTCTAATTAGTCAGCTGTTACGACAAGCTTGTTAGGGGGCAGTGAGTCTATCCCCCCCCCCCTTTTAATTAGGGCCACAGAACCACACAGGGAACAAATACATCTCAAGTTGACACAGCCTCCTTTCTATAGAAAACAAGTTACCAAACCAAAATTTATAACTCAATGTGTCTTCCATTCACTCATGACAATGTCAGCCATTTTTCCGGCACTATTTTTCTTTCTTTCTGTGTGTTGATTTATCTTCCATCTACATGTAAACTTGCAGTTAAATCTTCCGTCTACATGTTAACTTCCACTTAAATCTTCAGTCTACATGTTAACTTGCAGTTAAATCATTGCTTGACTTCTCGTCTGCAGAGAATCAACACAGTGTCGAAGTATGTTCAGGTCAGAGATCTGCAGATAGTTTCAAGGTAAGTCAGCGAGTCAGAGGTTGTCCGAAGTAAAGTGAAGAATTCATTTTAGGTTAAAGGTCAAAACAGTTAAGTCTTTAAACAAAAACTATTTTTTGTTAAGGGAAAAGACACGTTAATGAAAAGAAATCAAGCCTGTGCTAATGCCATTATATTCTGTGAAGTGTATACATATTTAGATAGTAGTGTTTACAAAATGTCAGGAACAGACAAAATATTAAAATAAGATTATTTAAAAAAAAAAAATGACTAGTTATTCTAGTTGAATTTTTATCACATTTTCCCACTTATGTACTGTCAGCCAAGATGTTTAGCAGTTTGAACATTTTTATGATAATCCTTTCCCTTATTGTCTTCATAAACATTGTTAGTGGGATGGCAATTTTTGAGAATGCTTTAGTGTTTGTATCACTTCCAGGTAATCGACCCTTTAACCTTTAATACCTGCACATGTTTGCTGGTTTATTTGTACCAGGGAAGAAATTGCCAAGCTAAAGGAAGGTGAGATTGACAAGACCAAAACCTACAGTGCCTTATGTTGGTGTGACAGGGAGCTGACACTAGCAGATATTGAGATGCTAGCTGCCATCAAGGTGATCTGCAGCTCTTGTCTGTTCCGTGTTGTTGACTGTTTTCTGTCTCTTCTTCTTCTTAGCCTTCATTGACTGGAAATTCTGGCACTAAGTTCTGGCTATTCATCCATTCCTGGACTCTGATTTTATTTGATAACTTTAGTTTTGCATGCAAATCCATTTTACAGATCTAACTTGTTTGCAAACTGTTGGTTCCTCGTCTCTCAGGCAGATGCACTCTGACTTCGAAGGAAACGCCCCTAATTATTTACCTTTTACGACTTTATTATCAGGGGGCAGTGGGTCTATTCTTTTTTCCCTCCCAAATAAGTTCCAGAACCTATGTGGGGAAATGTTTTCAGCCCCAGAATTTATGTAGGGAAATGTTTTCAATCCCAGAACCTATGTGGGGAAATGTTTTCAGTCCCAGAACCTATGTGGGAAAATGTTTTCATTCCCAGAACCTATGTGGGGAAATGTTTCAGTCCCAGAACCTATGTGGGGAAATGTTTTCAGTCCCAGAACCTATGTGGGAAAATGTTTTCAGTCCCAGAACCTATGTGGGGAAATGTTTCAGTCCCAGAACCTATGTGGGGAAATGTTTTCAGTCCCAGAACCTATGTGGGAAAATGTTTTCATTCCCAGAACCTATGTGGGGAAATGTTTCAGTCCCAGAACCCACACAGGGAAATGTTTTCAGTCCCAGAACCTATGTGGGAAAATGTTTTCAGTCCCAGAACCTATGTAGGGAAATGTTTTCAGTCCCAGAACCTATGTGGGGAAATGTTTTCAGTCCCAGAACCTATGTGGGGAAATGTTTCAGTCCCAGAACCCACACAGGGAAATGTTTTCAGTCCCAGAACCTATGTGGGAAAATGTTTTCATTCCCAGAACCTATGTGGGGAAATGTTTTCAGTCCCAGAACCTATGTGGGGAAATGTTTTCAGTCCCAGAACCTATGTGGGAAAATGTTTTCAGTCCCAGAACCTATGTGGGGAAATGTTTCAGTCCCAGAACCTATGTGGGGAAATGTTTTCAGTCCCAGAACCTATGTGGGAAAATGTTTTCATTCCCAGAACCTATGTGGGGAAATGTTTCAGTCCCAGAACCCACACAGGGAAATGTTTTCAGTCCCAGAACCTATGTGGGAAAATGTTTTCAGTCCCAGAACCTATGTAGGGAAATGTTTTCAGTCCCAGAACCTATGTGGGGAAATGTTTTCAGTCCCAGAACCTATGTGGGGAAATGTTTCAGTCCCAGAACCCACACAGGGAAATGTTTTCAGTCCCAGAACCTATGTGGGAAAATGTTTTCATTCCCAGAACCTATGTGGGGAAGTGTTTTCAGTTTCAGAACCCACACAGGGAAATGTTTTCAGCCCCAGAACCTATGTGGGGAAATGTTTTCAGCCCCAGAACCTATGTGGGGAAATGGGAACCTATGTGGGAAATGTTTTCAGTCCCAGAACCTATGTGGGAAATGGTTTTCAGTCCCAGAACCTATGTAGGGAAATGTTTTCAGTCCCAGAACCTATGTGGGGAAATGTTTTCAGTCCCAGAACCTATGTGGGGAAATGTTTCAGTCCCAGAACCCACACAGGGAAATGTTTTCAGTCCCAGAACCTATGTGGGAAAATGTTTTCATTCCCAGAACCTATGTGGGGAAGTGTTTTCAGTTTCAGAACCCACACAGGGAAATGTTTTCAGCCCCAGAACCTATGTGGGAAAATGTTTTCAGCCCCAGAACCTATGTGGGAAAATGTTTTCAGTCCCAGAACCTATGTGGGGAAATGTTTTCAGTTTCAGAACCCACACAGGGAAATGTTTTCAGTCCCAGAACCTATGTGGGGAAATGTTTTCAATCCCAGAACCCACACAGGGAAGTGCTTTCAGTCCCAGAACCCACATGGGAAAATGTTCTCAGTAAATATTTTGTCTTGTGTTCTGTGAATGCTTTTATTTTCAAGATGGCGATGAGTGACTGTCTTCGGTAGCTGTGATTTTGTCTTTTAGATTCTGTTTTCTTGCTTGTCATGGACTGCTATTTGATGTGGGTTTGAACACAGTGTGTGCTGTGTGAACATAGCATGTATTGTAGTTGTCTTTGTCGAAGTGGGATGGTGAACAATAGAGATCACAACCTCAACTGGCACACTTTGCTGGCAGTGGTTCACTGGCTAGGAAGACAAATGTTCAACAGCAGGACTGTGAAGAGAGCAAACTTTAAAAAAACAAATAAGAGCTGTCCCAAGAAATGGAATGTGTCATTCATTTTGGTGGGTAGGATTTGACAGGTACAGGCAACTCAGTAGCTATGTGCATGAACTTTTGCAACTACGGTACCCTCACCTTGGGTAATGAAAGTGACAGCTAGACTAGGTCCCATATTTTGAACAAATCTGCACCTAGCAACTATGCTTTGGGGAAACCTAAAGACCTGAAGCTGACATCACAGTTTATGGTCTACAGGGGATGAAATGCATGATCAGAGGTTGGTTGACGAAGTGTTCAGTGAAGGGTTTTCTTGGAAGTTCACTATAGTTTTGTACAGGTTTTTCTCCACCAGTTAAGCGGTTTGAATCAACGATGTGTAGGTAACAGGGAAACAAATCAACAGGAACTGCTTGTCATATTGTGGATACAATTTGGTAATGGCTGGGTTTTTTTTTTTTTAATTATAAAACAATTTGTTTTTTTTAGAGAAAACACAGCTGACTTTACCCCTGGGTTTTTTTAGGGGGGGGGGGGGGGGGGGGGGGGGGGTCATTACATAAAAACAATCCCATTATCAGGCCTGTTAGACAATCCAGCCAACAAGCAGACGGCCATTAGTTAGTACCTTTATTAAGTAACACTGAAGTTGGGGATGGATCACTTGTGGAATATCCTCAGTTATCTCATCTTATTTCTAAACTCATCTCAGACAAAAAAACAGGTGATCCTATTCTGTTTTAGAACAGGCTAAGATTCATCCATCCAGTGACACCTATGTAGACATGTGCTGGTAGAACATTTTCTTCACATATGCATAAATGTTGTCAGTTTGTGAGTCAGAACTTCAGGGTGCTGTGTGGTCTCAAAGTATGGCATCTACCCTGAGTGCTGGAGGTCCTGGTTTCAAAACCCAGTGAAGGCTGGCATTTGTTTCACGTGGATTTCTAGTAATTTCCCCTGATCTCTGGATAGTAAGGCCAGGCGCCCATGTGTATTGTTGTGCACATATAAAAAACACTTTGGCAGTTGGAAATCAAAAAGAGCAGCCTAACAGTGCTGCCTGGACAAAAATTTAAAAATCTACCCAAAACATTTCAGGATCATCGCCGATGCAACGGAGTTCATGCACTGACTGGCTGAGAATTCCTCAGACTGAGGCTTGAATTATAACGGAGCACTTATGGGTTACTGCCTTTGTGCCGTGATGTTGATCCATTGAATAAACATAAATATCAGAACACTAAGTGCCATTTAGGAGTCCATGGTCTCTCAGTTACTGAAACATTCATTCAAAACCTTAATTTCTTTACCGGAAGAAAAAGAAAGTGCACATGATAAAAAGAAGAAGAAAAAAAAAGCTTGACATTTTAAAGTACTGTTAAGTTAATTATTGAATATATTTTACAAACATCAGGATCTGAGACTGCAACAGAAGACACCATTGAGAGTGCTACACAGAAGGACAGCAGCAACACGAGAGAGGACTATACATTCTTTAAAAGCAACAAAAGAAGCCAATAACAGATTTAAAATATTGATGAGCACACAGGCAGGAACGTATCTTTGAAATGATGTTTTGTGTTTTATCTTCTGGATTATCTTATTAGTTTCAAAAGTCTAAGTTTTTGCTCTTTCAGGCAATACCCATGTCAGTCTCTTTCTTTGGCAGTATCATTACTGTCTGCATTTGTTGTGTGGATTTTCTGACATTTCACAGCACAACCTCAGTGAAATGAAATAATGTTCACTAGTCAGTTTGTCTGTCAGGAATCATTCACATTGAACACAGACACTCATTGCCATACATTCTATCAGTTTTTAAGAATTTCATTGTCTTCATCATCATCCTCAGTTTCTACTTCTGCTGTTAAGCATCATGGGGAGGAAAAGTTTGCAGTCCATTGCTTGATGGGCAGCAATGGCTGTTGTCATTCCGTGTTGATGTAGAAGTTCTTTAATCTCATCAATCCATATGATTCATGTGGAGCGTCTCTGTTAGTAGTTGTTCTGGCTGCATTCTTACTAGATGACCAAACCATTTGATCTTCTATTTCTCTGTGAATTTGCTGCATGGTTTTATTCCAACAGTCTGTCAGATAATATCATTTCTAATAATGTCCTTGGTGGCTAATTTGGCAGCTTTTCTCAGGCATCTCATTTCACATGTGTTGATTTTACGTAGGTTAGCTTTTGATAATTCCAAGTCTGGCACTGGTAGCACAGTGTTGGTATGAATATGCTGTTTATAATCTGTTTCTTGGCGCTCATACTCATGTTTGGATGTCTTAATAACAGTGTCATTTGGTGTATAAGTGAACTGGCTCGTTGGCGTCTTGTTTCTATTTTTGATCTGTTCTCACGTCCCCTGAAAATTTACTTCCTAGATATTTAAATTCTTTAACTTGCTTCAGACAGGAACCATTTGACCCGATATCTAGCGAACTAGAAATTCTGCAGACCTGCATTTCTTCAGTTTTAGTGATATTTACTTTCATGTTATATCTTCTGCACCTTGAACTTAGCCTGTTCAAATGGTCTTGCAATTTGCTCCCCTAATTATAGAACAGGCACTGATTGTCTGCAAATAGTAGCTCATTTATTGTTTGTGAATCTAATTCTTCCTCCAGACAGTAAATTCCTCATTTTCTGAGTCGACTGCTTTAAAGCTGGCTTTTTTTTGATAATCTGTTGATGTATACTTAAATAAAAGATGAGAGAGCACACATTCCTGCCTCATCCCTGTATTGATTGTAAACATATCAGACATGCCTTCTTGTGTTTTTGCTGCGCTTTGGAAAGTGTGGTACATGATCATGATGTTATCTAGAAACTGTTGAGTTTATTGTCCCTAACTGCATCAAGGTATATCAAGGAATTTGTGCATGGAGATTTTGGCCGGACATACCCGAACATGAGTGACCTTCTGAAAGCAGAGTGTGACATCATTGATCTGGATGTTGAGGTATGTAGCCAGTATCTTCTCCCAGGACTGAAAGTATTCTTCCTTGCTTTTTTTTCTACTCTAGCGTAGACCGTCCTACTATGAGGCCTAATCAAATGAAACCCATCTCAGTGGCTTTGTTACAAACAATTAAAAGGATATGTTAGCAGATGTGGCTGAATTAAACAAAGCAGCTGTCAGGAATCATGACCAGCTTGCATCAGAGGTTATTAGAGAAATTAAAAGCAATGTTTTCCTATTGTAAATTTAAATAATGCTGACTTCCTCTTCTTCTTTATCTACCGGCTGTAAGCTCTGACGGAAAGTCCTGGTTGTTTGTCCATTTGGACCTTGGCTTTGCGCCAGGGCCTGAGTTTTGCGAGCACATCTATTTTACTGGCTTATTTATGTGCAGTTGGTTGTTCCTTGCCGCTCGGGTAAATGCACTCTGACTTTGAAGGAATTTCCAAGTTAGTCAACTCCTGCTGGGAAGGCATTGGGTCTATTCTTGTTTTCCTACAATGGAGCCCCGGAACCCACACGGGGATCATACGGACTCAGACAATACATTGCACAACGTATTGTCTTGCATATTTCACTGTAGCTCGTCAGTTGCATTACTAGGTGTTAAATCACCATATTACCGATCAGCCTCACAAGGCAGCAACCAAAGCTAGGAGGAAGACGGCCATAATAAGAAAACTAAGTGGAACCACATGGGGAGCCAGTGTGAAAATGCTCAATAAAGCATACAAGCACACATGGAATATGGGTCAACTGCATGGTGTTCAGCGTCTAGTACCACATTAAGGGAGTTGGACAAAATGCAAAACAATGGAGCGCATCACCAACCTCAGACTACAGTGGTACATTAAAAGTAAAAACATCATTACACTACGGCAGGCGGGCTTTATAAAGTTTTAACTCTACGGAAGACCAGACAACATACCTCTCCCAAGAAATAGAGGATGCTTTTCAAGATAACTAACTGGTACTCGTGGCGTGGATAGATTTAAGGAAAGCTTTTGACAAGTTTTGGAAGGAGGGGCTTTTGAAGAATTTGAGAAACTATAAAGTGAATGGAAGAATCATCATCATCATCATCAGGTGCCTTGCCGACTGGCATGGGCGATCATGCCTCTCCATAATCTGCGATCTCCTGCAGCATGTATCAGTTCGTTTGCTGACACACCTCCATACCATGCAATAAGACTGTCAAGCATCTTCTCTCGTTGTCTTCCTCTATCTCTCCTTCCACATATCTTTCCAGTGGTCACAACATGTTCTATTTTCCCTCTTCTCATAACATGGCCGAAAAATGATGACTGTCTCCTTCTGATAAATGGAAGAATGTACAATTGAATTAAGGCATATCTACATAACAGAAGAGCACATGTACAGGTAGATGGTTTTAAAAGTACAAAAGTTCTACCAACAAGGCCTCCCTCAAGGTGGTGTCCTGTCGCCCACACTTTTCCTCTTATTCATCAACGACCTGGTTGCTGAGGTACCTAATTGAATCAAAATGGCAGTGTATGCCGACTACTTGGTACTGTGGTGCACCAATGAACATACAGTAGGCTTCAAATGCACTTGAGGCATGGGAAAATAAATGGTGTGTCAGCATCAACGCAGACAATTGTAGCACCACACTCTTTACCCTCTCTCTAAAGCAAAAAGCGGGCATCATACAAATTAATAGAATACCCCTACCCACGTACCTCAGAGTCACATTTGATGACAGGTTGACATGGAGAAAACATATCAACAAGGCAGCAACCAAAGCCGGGAGGAAGACAGCCATACTAAGAAAACTAAGTGGAACCACATGGGGAGCCGATGGGAAAATACTAAATAAAGCATACTTGGAATATGGGTCAACTGCATGGTGTTCAGCGTCTAGTACCATATTAAGGAGTTGGACAAAGTGCAAAATCAAGCACTCAGAGTCATCACAGGAGGGATTAAATCAGCCTTCATATTAGAAATGGAAAAAGCTGGGAAAACACAAGTACTGAGAAAATGCAGAGATACAAAGTTGCAAATAAAAGCTGAAAAGTTCCTCAGTATGCCAGATCCCCCCATGAAAAAATAGATTTCAGAACCTAGCCTTGTGACAGTTAAAAAGAAACAGCTTTATACACCAAGCAAAAAGAATAAGTAGACAAACTACTGACCTTCCAGAAATTGGTTGTCCACTTAAAAGTACTCCAGAACAAACCCTATGGTGATGAAAATGCAAACTAACAGTACAAATCCAGACAATGTGAAAGGGATATTTGACAAGACAGAACAAGTTAGTGTACAACGCAGAATGGTCACCCTCAGTTATATTGATGAAGAATACCCACAAGAACAATGGGTCAAAGTCTATACAGATGGGTCCGCACAAAGTGCAGTTAGAAATGGTGGTGCTGGAGTGTACATAGAATTCCCAGATGGTACTAGGGATAAGTCCAGCGTACCAACCGGAAGTACTGCCATAACTACGATGCAGAAACTCAGGCTATCAAGGTAGCAACAGAGAAACTGCTAAATACCAATCTTGGCTTACAGTATGTGGTAATGCTGACAGATGCTACATCCGTACTTTAAGCACTCCAGTCTAGGAAACTTACCAGAATTGCAAACACTGCTGACACACCTCAGCCTTCAGTGAAGAGTCGTAATGCAGTGGATACCGTCTCATTGTGGAGTGCCTGGAAATGAGAGAGCTGATCAACTGGTAGAGGAAGGTGTGAAAAAAGTGCAGCCTGATGTACCAGTCACATACCACCAAAAGAAAAGGATAATTGAATTGATCAGGAAACCAGCCCCAGCACAAGACGACTATTTTATTATGGACAGATCAGAACAAGTCATTATCCTCTGCCTCAGAACAGGACACAACCGATTACGTAACCACATGTACACAAAATTCAAGATAGGTGTATCAGCCATTGAACCTGTGGAAAGGTGCCCCAGACAGCAGAGCATATACTTCATAACTGCACCAAATTTGACATATTGAGGCATACATTTTGGCCGGGAAGAACAACAGTAAACTCTATGAACCACTCAATGAACTAACAATGACAGTGAAATTTATACAAGAGACAAAATTGCTGATGTAGACAACTAAATCTGAGATGGCACATGTCATGGAACATTTCTCATGTGCTGTGTCTTTAGTGGATGTGGGTTCAAATCCCCTGCATTCTGGATCCAGATGAGAAACAAAGATAGCTGACTCTTGATAATACATGTAGGCAGAGGCCCTGGATAAACAGAAACAACCTAAGCAAGAGTGGCTTGTGAAATAGATAATGCTGGCCTAGTATCCCAGGAGAAGGAAAGAGGCATTTAGAGATCTAGACAAAATTATGGTCAGAAGATGAAGTTTATGTTTATACAATGGATAAACATTATGGCACAAGGGGTAATACATAAGTGCTCCATTCTACTTCTAACTTAAGCCTAAATCCGAAGAATCTCAGCGCAGTGCACAAACTTTATAGCACTAGTGAGGATCCTGAAATACTGTGGGTAGATTTTAGCTCAAAATTGTTCCCAGGCAGCACTGTTAGGCTACTCTTTTTTATTTCCAGCTGCGAAGGATTTTTTTTTTAAACGGGCGTCCGATCTTACTGCCTAGAGACCAGAGAAATTTTATAAAAGTCCACGTAAAAAAAATCCCAGCCTTCACCGTGTATTGAACCCGGGACCTCCAGCACTCGAGGTGGACGTCATGCCTCGAGACCACGCAGCCCCCGAGAAGTTGAAAATGCTGGATTTCAGATTGCCTTTCCCCAACACTCCTCTCCTTTTAAATAATTTAACCCCCAAAAGGTGCCTTAACTTTTCTAACCTTTGTTATCTTTCACTCACACTCACCTAGCAATGGGAAGTCATAACAAAGAGTTAATTTTATGTATTAAAAATCCAAGCATGTATTCAAGCAAGTCACTGTCTGTGATGGTGACCTGATGATGTTAATTATTAATTAAAATCAGTGAGACGATGTTATCAGATTGATAGGTGAGTGTGCCGACGTTATCAGATTGATCAGTGAGTGAGACGATGTTATTAGATTGATCAGTGAGTGAGACGATGCTATCAGATTGATCAGTGAATGAGACGATGTTATCAGATTGATCATTGAGTGAGAGGATGTTATCAGATTGATCATTGAGTGAGAGGATGTTATCAGATTGATCAGTGAGTGAGACAATGATATCAGATTGATCAGTGAGTGAGACAATGATATCAGATTGATCAGCGAGTGAGAGAATGTTATCAGATTGATCAGGGAGTGAGAGAATGTTATCGGATTGATCAGTGAGTGGATATTGATATCGGATTGATCAGTGAGTGAGACGATGTTATCAGATTGATCAGTGAGTGAGACGATGTTATCAGATTGATCAGTGAATGAGATGATATCAGATTGATCAGTAAGTGAGACGATGTTATCAGATTGATCAGTGAGTGAGATGATATCAGATTGATCAGTGAGTGAGATGATATCAGATTGATCAGCAAGTGAGAGAATGTTATCAGATTGATCAGTGAGAGAATGTTATCAGATTGATCAGTGAGTGGGATGATATCAGATTGATCAGTGAGTGAGATGATATCAGATTGATCAGTGAGTGAGATGATATCAGATTGATCAGTGAGTGAGATGATATCAGATTGATCAGTGAGTGAGATTATATCAGATTGATCAGTGAGTGAGATGATATCAGATTGATCAGTGAGTGAGATGGTATCAGATTGATCAGTGAGTGAGATGATATCAGATTGATCAGTGAGTGAGATGATATCAGATTGATCAGTGAGTGAGATGATATCAGATTGATCAGTGAGTGAGATGATATCAGATTGATCAGTGAATGAGATGATATCAGATTGATCAGTGAATGAGATGATGTTATCAGATTGATCAGTGAGTGAGAGAATGTTATCAGATTGATCAGCGATTGAGAGAATGTTATCAGATTGATCAGGGAGTGAGAGAATGTTATCAGATTGATCAGGGAGTGAGAGAATGTTATCAGATTGATCAGTGAGTGAGATGATGTTATCAGATTGATCAGTGAGTGAGATGACATCAGATTGATCAGTCAGAGTCTTCTTGAAACAGAACTGATGACATCAGATCATTAGTCTAATAAAACAGTGTAATGTACTTTACAAAGAGTAGTATTAACTAATGTCCCAAATAAGTGCATTTGCTGTGTGACCTTATTTGCAGAACTTAATTTATACTTTTCTTTTACAGTCTGTGGACGTGGACTGGCCAGTTTTTATTGACCCTCTGCCACAGGCCAGTGAAACAGTGGACTCTGAACGTTCTTGCAACAGTGCTGAAGACTGTCAGATCAAAGATGCTGGTGTCATGTTCTGATCAGACAGATCTACCTACTACTGCAGGTTCTGTTCATGAATGAAATCCCTGAGAACTCAGATCTTACATAAATGACCAGATAAATTTAACTGGAAGTTAAAAAAAGGAATATGAGGTCCAATTTTGTCAATGTAAAGCAATGAACGGATTTCCTAGTCAGATCGGTCAGATGAATCAATGCCTCAGAATTATATAGTGAGCTCTATCTAATAACATTATTTCAGGATTGGCACATTAAGGAGCATTTGTAGTAATTAACAGAGATTTAATGTTGTGATTGTTTTAATATTAAACTCTGCTGAAGTGTCTGTCTTCTTCTGACCTGTTTTGTTATGAAAGTCTCGTAAAATGTCTTTTTCTTCTACTTTCTGTTCCTCGGTGGAGCAGAGGCTCCCAAAACAAGCCTTGCTTCTTGGTGTCCCATCTCCAGCTGGCTTCATGTCATCCCTACACAATTACAGCTTCAAACAGAGGCAGCTAGAATCAGAGACCATCTGTAAACCTGCACCAGTCCCAACATACCACTGTGCGACCTTGTTCTTCCCCTTATGACCCCAATAAATACCCCCGCTGTGCGACCTTGTTCTTCCCCTTTTGACCCCAACATATACCCCCACTGTGCGACCTTGTTCTTCCCCTTATGACCCCAACATATACCCCCACTGTGCGACCTTGTTCTTCCCCTTATGACCCCTAACATATACCCCCACTGTGCGTACAGTTACAGTAGTGATCCCTGGGACAGCAAAAAGTACCTGTACCTTCAACAGAACGGCTCCGAACTTCCAAGAGAAGACAACACACCAGCTTTTGAAACAGTGTATTTCAACATGTACGCCTTTATTGGTCTATGCGGGAAATAACTATGGTTCAAGGGAAAGCTGCTGCTATGAGATCACAACTGACAGATCACAAGAGTAATGATGTCTGTAAAGAAATTAACTCACAAAGAAAACTGGGTACCAGTACCAGAAGGAGACAGTCTTTGAAAACGAGTGCATGATTGTGGCGGGAAAGTAGAAGGGGGAGAGAAGTAGAGAGCGACATAAAATCATGTGCAGTTTGGTATCAGCGCATGGAGGCAACAGAGATGACTGAAAGTACATAAGAAAGAAGGCTGTGGAGAGACTTGACTATCAACGTCACACGGCATAGACCATAAGACGTGACCATCAATGTCACACGACATGGACTGTAAGACATGACTATTAACGTCACACAGCGTGGACTGTAAAACATGACTGACCATCAGCATCACACAGCATAGATCATAAGACGTGACCATCAACGTCACACGGCATGGACTGTAAGACATGACTATCAACGTCACACGGCGTGGACTATAAGACATGACTATCAACGTCACACGGCGTGGACTATAAGACATGACTATCAACGTCACACGGCGTGGACTATAAGACATGACTATCAACGTCACAAGGCGTTGACTATAAGACGTGACTATCAACATCACAAGGCGTTGGACTATAAGACATGACTATCAACGTCACAAGGCGTTGACTATAAGACATGACTATCAACGTCACAAGGCGTTGACTATAAGACTATCATCACGTCACACGGCGTGGACTATAAGACATGACTATCAACGTCACAAGGCGTTGACTATAAGACGTGACTATCAACATCACAAGGCGTTGACTATAAGACATGACTATCAACGTCACAAGGCGTTGACTATAAGACGTGACTATCAACGTCACAAGGCGTTGACTATAAGACATGACTATCAACGTCACAAGGCGTTGACTATAAGACGTGACTATCAACATCACACGGTGTGGACTATAAGACATGACTATCAACGTCACACGGCGTGGACTATAAGACATGACTATCAACGTCACACGGCGTGGACTATAAGACGTGACTATCAACGTCACACGGCGTGGACTATAAGACATGACTATCAACGTCACACGGCGTGGACTATAAGACATGACTATCAACGTCACACGGCGTGGACTATAAGACATGACTATCAACGTCACACGGCGTGGACTATAAGACATGACTATCAACGTCACACGGCGTGGGCTATAAGACATGACTATCAACGTCACACGGCATGGACTATAAGACATGACTATCAACGTCACACGGCGTGGACTATAAGACATGACTATCAACGTCACACGGCGTGGACTATAAGACATGACTATCAACGTCACACGGCGTGGACTATAAGACATGACTATCAACGTCACACGGCATGGACTATAAGACATGACTATCAACGTCACACGGCGTGGACTGTAAGACATGACTATCAACGTCACACGGCATGGACTGTAAGACATGACTATCAACGTCACACGGCAAGGACTGTAAGACATGACTATCAACGTCACACGGCCTTTACTGTAGGATGAGACTATCAACGTCACACGGCAAGGACTGTAAGACATGACTATCAACGTCACACGGCCTTTACTGTAGGATGAGACTATCAACGTCACACGGCCTTTACTGTAGGATGAGACTATCAACGTCACACGGCCTTTACTGTGGGATGAGACTATCAACGTCACACGGCTTGGACTGTAAGACATGACCATCGAAGTCACACAGAGTGGACTGTCAGACATGACTATTAACATCACACGGCGTGGACTGTAAGACATGACTATCAACGTCACACGGCGTGGACTGTAAGACATGACTATCAACGTCACACGGCGTGGACTGTAAGACATGACTATCAACGTCACACGGCGTGGACTGTAAGACATGACTATCAACGTCACACAGCGTGGACTGTAAGACATGACTATCAACGTCACACGGCGTGGACTATAAGACATGGACTATGTCACACGGCGTGGACCATCTATCAAAGTCACACAGAGTGGACTGTAAGACATGACTATCAACGTCACACGGCGTGGACTGTAAGACATGACTATCAACGTCACACGGCGTGGACTATAAGACATGACTATCAACGTCACACGGCGTGGACTATAAGACATGACTATCAACGTCACACGGCGTGGACTATAAGACATGAATATCAGCGTCACACGGCGTGGACTATAAGACATGATTATCAACATCACACGGTGTGGACTGTAAGACATGACTATCAACGTCACACGGCGTGGACTATAAGACGTGACTATCAACGTCACACGGTGTGGACTATAAGACATGACTATCAACGTCACACGGCGTGGACTATAAGACATGACTATATCAGACGTCACACTATCAACGTTGGACTATAAGACATGAATATCAACATCACACGGCATGGACTATAAGACATGACTATCAACGTCACAAGGCGTTGACTATAAGACGTGACTATCAACATCACACGGTGTGGACTATAAGACATGACTATCAACGTCACAAGGCGTTGACTATAAGACGTGACTATCAACATCACACGGCATGGACTATAAGACATGACTATCAACGTCACAAGGCGTTGACTATAAGACGTGACTATCAACATCACACGGTGTGGACTATAAGACATGACTATCAACGTCACAAGGCGTTGACTATAAGACATGACTATCAACGTCACAAGGCGTTGACTATAAGACGTGACTATCAACATCACAAGGCGTTGACTATAAGACATGACTATCAACGTCACAAGGCGTTGACTATAAGACATGACTATCAACATCACAAGGCGTTGACTATAAGACATGACTATCAACGTCACAAGGCGTTGACTATAAGACGTGACTATCAACATCACAAGGCGTTGACTATAAGACATGACTATCAACGTCACAAGGCGTTGACTATAAGACGTGACTATCAACGTCACAAGGCGTTGACTATAAGACATGACTATCAACGTCACAAGGCGTGGACTGTAATACGAAACTATCAACGTCACACGGCATGGACTATAAGACATGACTATCAACGTCACAAGGCGTGGACTATAAGACGGGACTATCAACATCACACGACATGGGCTATAAACACAAAACACGGCGTGATAGACTGGCTGGTTCTGCACCCCTCGGTAGTGAATTGATGCATGATAAACTAGATGGCATAAAGATCCTTCGGGAGCAAGTTAAGAGTTTGGAGGTACAAATACGCCATACCGGTCTGAGGAGAACGGTGCTGCAGGTAATGACCAGGGGATCAGACTGATGCTGAACACTCAAGGGAAAGGGCAGATATACAATCAGACTGTTACTTGTAATACCATCAGAATTGGAACTCTGCACTTGCTGCTGAAGATGGGGATGAGGCGTTTATGAGAATGTCGCAAGTACTGTGATGTCGATTCCTAATTCAGCATGTGTGTCATATCATCACATTGGTTAAATTAGCTGACACTGACAGACAGTCCTTGCGACTTGCTGCTAGTGCAACTTAATCGGGCAGACCGATCCATATAACCATAAGTTTACTTGCTGTCTATTACCCACTAAAGAATTGTTTGACTATAAAGAGTTTAAATGCTGGCAGTGGGGTGTTAAGCGGAGTAAAACTGGTTTTATTTGATATCGTCATTTCTGCTGCATTAACCTACCTTCTGTAGACCGATCTGCAAGTGCACACATGATTATCTATCCTGTGCAAATAGTCAGGTCTGAAACACTGTCACGTCTGTACAGAATCTGCACGTGTACTCAACAGCATCAGGTTTGTTTTGGCCAGGAAGCCAGTGACTAGTCAATGCTTTAGCATCGTGGTCATCGATTTGCAGATGTCAAAATTTGATACATTTGACTACGTTCGCATGCACAGCTGATTTTAACCAATAGGATTACTGGGGCAAATTTTGTATTCGTTTTGTAAATACAAAGGGGATTTAACACACAAAGTACATTTAACTGACACAGCGTAGACCGATAGTTGTGAATAGTGGACGGTTTATGTTATAGTGGCTGGACTGAATGAAACTGCAAGCTGTCTTGACCTTGCGATTATAGTATTCAAAGCATGTCTCAAACTGAGTTGCTAATTTTGTGTCACTACAAATCTGAGTTTATCAACACAGAATTTTACTTTTCAAATAAATAGTCACATTAACCCTGTCACTCTCGGGATGTTTCGAAGTAGATTCCCCAGGTGAGGTATAACTTCGGTGAAAATCTTGTTTGTCACCAGACTCTTTAGCGTGTTATAACCAAATGTATCACGTACAGTATCACATTACATAGTAGTTGGGATTCAAGGATGTGACTTGCCACCTGTTGCTCTGTGCTAAAAAAAAATTAACCTTCTGAAAATATAAAACTTGTTTGAAAATTTAATGTCGCCTAGTTTGAATTTACTATCTTCCGGAAATCCACTTGTTCGGGTTATTTGACGTTCATGCAAAAAAGTCGTCTTACAAATCATTCTCAACATTGTACATACACAGTAAGTGTTGCTTGGTCAGATTGTATACAATTATGTCGTTAGTCGCCAGTAGCTCACCTCATAAACACAAACATCGGTCATGTGTCTGCCCTGTGTAGACCTACCATGAAGAGCCAAACGCTGGATGTCAGCGAAAGTGTGCTTTTTTGTGCAATACTAACGGTACACGTGACTGGGGTAGTCACAAACTCCCTCAACGTGCGGGTCTTTCTGCGCCAAGGAGTCAGCTCCGACAGTACCACGGTGTCGATGTTTGCACTGGCCGTATCCAACCTGTTAGGTTCTCTTCTCATTATCCCAAAGGCTTTGTGCTTTTACGTAGACAAATATGTTCAGATAGAAAACTACGCGGAAGATTCTTGCAATACTTGGAGTGAACTGACTCTTGCCTATCCACACATTATGTTCTCTAGAATCACCTGCTGGATAATTGTGTATATTTCAGTAGAGAGGGCGTTGAGTGTACTTATTCCTCTGAGAGTAAAGCTTTTCATCACATCAAAAACTGCATCATTTGTGATGCTGACCATCTATGTGTTTTATATCTGTTTCCACGTACCATTCGGCGCTAATGTTCGCATTGTTTTGGCACAGGAGCCGGCCATCAACGGAACTGTGACTGCCATCTCACAGGAAACAGCTTTGGGGAAAGTGTTTTTGAAGATAAACAGCCTGCTTGGCAATACGATTCTAACCACGACAGCAATGATTATCATTGCTGTAACAACCGTTGTTATGTTACGGCGTCTTCGGTCTTTGGGAAAGTGGAGAAATGCACAGCCCTCATCAGTGATGGTTTTCTCACTAGAATCTGCGATGCCTGCAGTACACGTATCACCATATGTGTCTATGTCTAGAAAGGATAAAGAGGTTATTAAAATGGTGTCTACAATAACAGGAGTGTACCTGGTGTGTTTAAGTGGCAGCCATGTTCCCGGTATGTGTATCTGTTTCATTCCTGAAATGTATTTAAATGGTGTCAACTCTGCATTGTTCCATCTGGCGTATTCTCTCAAGTATTTATTTGATGGCATTAACTCGTCGGTTAATTTCTTTTTCTACTTTCGTTTGAGCCGCAAATATAGAGATACATTTTGTAAATTATTTAGCTCTAGCAAATGGACAACAGATCGCTGAATTATCTCAGATATTATTCAGATAACAATTCTGGGTATCAATTCTAGCGTGTGGTTATTGTGCGGCTAGTTGAAGTTAAAATGTTCATGTCACGGGATGTACAAATTCTTGTCCAAGCCAGGCTGACAAGTATATGGCGTTTCTGTCAGTGAAATAAAGAAATACTGGTACTGGTCAACTGCAAGCAAGCGAAAGTCAAAGTGAGGTTGCTAGACATCCAAACCTGTATCAGAGTCGACTGATAGTACTCTAGATGTTGCTAGACATCCAAACCTGTATCAGAGTACTATCAGTCAACTTTGACAAAGACTCCAAGTCGCTGGCATTGCAGTGGACGACCCAGAGTGACAATTGTAACGAGAAATCGCTTTATTCGGCTTCGCCACACCAGAAACAGGTTTACCAGAGATTTCTCTACAGCGCAGGCTTGGTCTACAGGACGTCAAACGGTTCAACGCTGGACTTTGGGCACGATGCCCTCGCCAAGGACATGTCGTTACTCACCACCATCTACTTATGTGGGCCAACCAGCATCCCTCCTGGGCAGCTGATAATTATCAGCAAAGACGTGTTTGGTTTAATGACGAATCTTTTTTTTCCGTTACAGCATTATGATAGATGGCATAGGGCCTACAGTAGGCGACATAAACGTTTAGCCCAAAATTGGGCTGGTGAAGCTCCGCCGGCAAAGTACAAAGCTGAGAACATATTAACTGATGAGAGTTCAATGGGAACTAATCAACTACATGTATAATGCACAGATTGGAAATGAAAGAGTTAATCATCTGTAAACCAGAAAGAAAAACATCAGCATGTAGCAGGTCCTTTGCAGAACGTCGCTATCATCACGGGATGCCTGAAAGAAACTAGGTCTGTCACTAACTCTTCCGCTTACATATTCAAGGAGTCCTGCTCCCATCTTCGTGTTGGTCGGCCCCTGCCTTTCCTTCCTGGTACCATACCTTTTGCTTTTATTTTCTCCAGTATGCCATAGCGCTTGATATGACCAAAATATTTCTGCTTCCGAGACAAGACTGCACGGGCCGGCTGACACAAAAACAAAAGTAAACAATTTTATCATCATATTATTGCAGTTGTTGGCAAATGTGACTTCTGTTGCTGCTCAGAACTGAGAAAATCTGATCTGATTGGCTGGAGGATATCTGAGAGACCAAGCGCTGCAACAAAATCAATTGACCAACAGTCTGCACATACCAGGTTGAAAAACATGGCTGTAAAGTATGTGTAAGTAACTTTAACTTTAGTACTCTTCTTCATTTTGCAAAAAGGATTGACGTGTCAGGATCAACTTCATTGCACTTCTGTCCCCCCTGACTTGATGTTTTAGTGGAGCAGATAGCTGCCTATCAAGGGTGTCACACAGAATACTAACTCCATAACTTCGGGGGGGGGGGGGGGGGGTGTCAGCCTGTCAACAGAATAACAGCCCAAAAATAAATACCACCATTACTTCTGTCTTTCCATTATTCAAACTGAGGCCCATTCTTCCCCTTTGTTCCACCACAGTGTCTATCATTTCCTGTAGTTCTTTCTGACTTGTTGCTCTTAGGACTGTGTCATCAGCATAACGTAAATTGTTTATATTGTGCCCACCAACCAACAATTCTGGGCATATCAGTTAAAGATCTCATTATATATTCACTGTATAGTGAAATTAAATCCGGTGACAGTACATATCCTTGTCGTAGGATTTCAGGTTTACACAGTGAAAACTGTAGGAGAGCAAATCCTAGGAGAATTGAGTTGAGTTTTAAGAACTGATATCACAAACATCTGAGCACATTCTACAGACCTGCCCACTATACCTACAACTTTGAAAAGACACTTGGCCTCAAGAGCAAAGTGTACAGAGCAAGCTATGGGGAACCATGAAGGACCTGCTACTGACATGCCAGTTCATGAAGGCAACCCACTTGATGGTCTGATCTGAGTATATGAAACCGAACGCAAAGAGGAAGAGTTGAGTTTCAAGAACTGACATCACAGCATTCAGGGAATTCAGAGATAGGCTGGGTACGATGACAGTGACTGGTGTCTCCGAGGCAGTCGAGGCTAACAAATATTAGTTTAATTTGTGTGCCAGGGTATGCAGAAGGGAAAGGAAATGAGGCTGATTAGCTTGCAGTAAAGCAAGGGCAGACATGACTGGACCTGGCTGGTATACTCAATGCTCTACAAGAAGTAAGATGTGTGTGAGAACCAAGCGATTACTGTGAATCTGCAACCATGACCAGACAGCAAGAACAAGAATTTAAAATAAATGTGACCTGACAAGATCAATATTCAAAGCTTGATCTAGAACTTGAGTTTTGCAGGAGCATCCATTTTACAAATCTGGCTTAAATGTATGCAGACTCTTGGTTTCTTGCATCTGAGGCAGATGCACTTCAACTCTGAAGGAAACAGCTTTAACTAATCGCCTCCTGTGATGTGCTTGTTAGGGAGAAGTGGGTCTCCTCTCTGTTGTCCAGAATGAAGCACTGAAAGTTGCAGGGGAATGACTCCTGTTGTTCACCATTGTCTACAATAGTTAATAACCAGATCCTCTATCCAGAGATCACGGTGACACCACCAAACACAGTGATCAACAAGATTTAGAGCCCAGCATTTTCTGGTTAATGGAGGAAAGAACAGTTGGGCCTACAGGCACATCAGAGATAATCATAACACAGTACATGTTAACACAATTACAGAATACAAGTCATAAGTTCCATACCAATACATTTTAATGTTCAGCCATACAAACCCTGGTGACATCTCTATGACCACAACCTCACACTGACATGTATATGTCTACTACACTTCATTCAAATGATGACAATATAACCTCATCCACACTGACACTTATATGTGTGTACTATGACCTCAACCCCACACTGACACTTATATGTGTGAACTATGACCTCAACCCCACACTGACACATATCTGTCTACTATGACCTCAGCCATACGTCACAGGAGTCAAGGAAAAACAACTACTTCACACTTGAACAACTCAGTTGTCACCTCAAAGTTACCGCTGGTTTCACACATCAACTCCAAATCAATCAAAACTAGCAGGGACTCAGAAAATCAATCACATCCAAAAATAAACACAACAGCAGGTCTGTCAAGTGGGTCAAGAAACACGAGGAAGTCTGAGGGATTATCATTTTCATAGTAAATTAATGTTTGTTGTTATGTTCATACAAATAATATCTCAGTGAACACACACATATTTATGCTTTTGAAAATTTTGCCCATTCAGTTTAAATACAAAAACAAGTTTTCTTCATTAGGAATAAAACAGAAGTAACACACATGGCTGATCGTACCTGAGTCATGCTATAATGCTCTAACATAGCGAGCCATTACCAAATAATGTTATAACACAAAGAAAGATTTATTACTTCCAATAAAACATGAACTCACATTTTATTTCTTTGTCAGTGAATGGGCAATATTTCCTAAACATCTATTCCAGAAGAGTTACAGTGTTTTTGTTATTAATCTGAATATGACCCCCCATCTCTGTGTTTATTTAGGACAAGCATTGACACTGGAATATTGCTGTAAATCTGGATGGGTATTAGAAGTGTTTCATGAACTTTCACCCATCACTCTATACCCACTAACAAGAACAGCCATTTATACTGTCAATAATTCATTCACCACACTAAAAGAAAAATGGTAGACCTCATGTGATAACATCAATTTATATACACAACTGATTACCTTGGTGCACATCAGCTAACACTAGTGAACTTATCAAAGGTCAGAAAATGGCGACTAAAATGACAACTAATATTAACTGGAGGACTTCTGGGATGCAGCTGCTAGTGTATCATTGGATGTCAGTTGGTGCTCTTGGAAACGCTGTGAGATTCTGTTTGTCATCTTCATGTACTTCTCCAGACAGTTGAGGGCACAGTTATTCTGGGGAACAGTGCCAAGCAGCAACAGTTGACATATTTCAAATAACAGACAGAAACTATCAATTATATATATATATATATACACACACACAAACACACACACGCATATATGGCTGCATACACAACAATACTGAATTAAAGCAGTTTCATACGACCAGGCGTAAGATATAAAACTAGATACATTGAAATATATATTTTTTTAAAAGCTAATAAAAATTACTCAAAACAAAAAGACAAAATAATAAGAAGGCTGACAATGCAGTTATCAATGTTGGACCAAAAACTAGCGCTTAAGTCACTCAACTGCCTGCCCTCTGATCTCAGCAAAGATTAGAACCCTAATGTCCTTGCATGCTCTGTTTTAGATGTACTCTTTTTTCTTTCTGTCTCCCTTAACTGGTGCTGTACTTTAGTATTTTCAGTAGTACATCTTTGTGTCTCAACCAAAAGTCTAGCTAAATTTTTCAAAAGTTGATTTGCACTGCTGTCTCCCAAAAAAATGTGTTCATCTGACATTTTTTTTAGCTTTGCCTTGTTTACTCTTAAACAGTGAGATGGATGAATGCACTTGTTCAATGTTCACCCCCCCCCCCCACACCCAGTACCAACACTGACACTTTAGTTGTTTGGCAACTGCAATCTTCTTCTTCTTCTCAGCATTCAGACTGTGAACTCTAGTAAACAGTTATGGTTGTTTGCCCACTTCTGCACTATGGTCTTGTACCCCAAAACAGACATGCCCTATTTGTTTGCAGATGCACTCCAACTCAAAAGGAAACACCCTAAGTAGTCACCTTTTACGACATGCTTGTTGGGGAGGGAGAGTGGGTTTATTCTCATTTGTCCTCAAAATGGGATCCAGGAACCCATAAAGGGAGGTGACTGTAATCATACTGAACCAACTTAAAAACATCTTCAATGATCGGACCCAGATAAGACAACTGGATTTGTGTCTCTCCCTCAATGACGAAACTTATGTTTGGACTTATTAGGTACATGTCAGTTTTCAGTATATAAAAAAAAATTAAATGCTGCACTAATTTTTGGTGGGCAATTATTCTGAGTGATTTCTATTCCTTCTGCAATGGCTAAGTCATATTATGCAGTGAACCTATGGCACATAAGTGCTGAGCACCGACTTGAATTCCCGAGGTGAGGTTTTCTACCTGCTTCATTCAGACCAATACAAGAGGCATAAAAACAATCATAAAACGAATTGTCGTAGACAGTCTCCACCTTAACTTCAAGAGAGGGGCAGTTGTTTTGGTTCTATATCAGTTAGCTGCTGGAAACAGCTGCTCCCACTTAAAAAAAAGGCCTGTCCCGACAGAGCATACACAGACACATTGCCAACAACACCTGAATGTACACTGACTGTAATATATCAGCATCTACTTTACACAAGTGACAGTGAGAAAAGAGAAATCTATCCAGAGTTAAGGGCAGTACCTCTATGACCATCAGCTCCGTAAGAGATGCAAGATAGTTACATGATCTGACCCAGTTATGAGTTATGATTTGGGTTATCTTCACGGCACTCCAGACACATTCATAGGTGCTCAGATTACCCCTTCAACATACACATCAGCGTCCTGTGGTTGATAGTCCCAGTCCTATGTTGGTTGACAAGACTTCTTGTGCGTCTGGTGTGCTTTTTTTGTGCCTGGCTGTGCCGATCTTTACTCTTGCACTATTAGCAAAGATGTGGAAGTGCTGATCCCAAAATCCACAGAACGTCCTAACTCTCTAATGGCATTAACAATGTCGACATGATCCATAGGCCAGCCCTCTGTGGGCTCTTTTATTGCTAACAACACCCGCATACCCTAGGACAAAGACAAGGGTAACTCCATGCACCGTCTGCATACAAAGCGCGCCTCAACCCACCGGATCATGCTCATGGGATCACACAGCACACATACATAAGAATAGCATTGCGATGCTAGCCACACGAAAGCTCGTCTCACCCAAAAGCAGTGAGGGCAGAACCTCAAGACAGACCGTCAATGTTTAGTACAGATATACACAGTTACCTGTGGAAGTAAACAAATAAGAAGAATCCCATGAATCTGGGATAACTCAAGCTAATTTTAACAGAATAACAACCACTGATATTAACAAATAAAGCACATATTATAATTTGAAACAATGACAAAAGGAACTGAATACACACACAGGCACATAAAGATGGTAAATGAATGTAGACAATACCTCGACAGTGATGACCCGGCGCGTGGTGAAGTCATGGACACAAGCCATGAAGCACTGCTCTGTGATCTTGTTATACTGGGTGAGAAATTCTCTGAACTGCAGAAGATGGCAATGTAAAATACAAATGAACAGGTAAGCATACCAGGTTGTTAATTCTAGGGACTTCACATATCAAGTTATGAGGGTCTTAACATAAAACAAGTTATGATTTTATGAGTGACTTCAAATACGGCAAGTTATTGTTTTACACGGGACTTCACATTTAAAAACTAATGGTTATGAGGGAATTCGCACACACAGACATATATATATATATATATATACACACACACACACACACACATATATATATAAAGTTATGGTTTTGTGTGGGACTTTATATATATATAAAGACACGACTTAGAAAGACAGAAATGGAAGAGATAACTGACTGATTGACTTTTAACCACACCAAGACATCACACAAGTGATAACACCTGGTGACACAAAGTGCCACCAAGTGGATAACAATCACCCGTGGAGAGATTACAAAAATACCTTTTAGCCGTTAGGCCATATCTATGCCCCAACTATATTCAGGGCCCCCAGCAAAAGCCAGGTTGGGGCTTCAAATAACGAAAAACTGTATCCCACATGGGGACGAACGATAGATGTAAGAAAGAAGAGACAGAAATTTTCAGACCGAACACAAATTTTTCAGACTGATTTAGCCAACCGTATAACTCATACAAGGTTTGACAAGTAATGAGATTAATTCCATAAAAATTAAAATAATCAAGTTAAAGATATAACCTGTATTCTATTCAAAGTATCCCCCTTGTGCATTAATACAGCAAGTGGCACCATCTAACAAACACACCAGACAGATATACTGTGTCTGTGGTTTCTTAATGTCATTGATTCTATTGAATTCCTTTTGCCTGATTCATATATGCGATTCTAAACTTATTACATGTCTTCGGAATTTTTCAATCTTGATTTAGTGTCCATCTTTCAATGTTCTTAGCCATCTAGAGTGTATGGATTATTATATTAAATCTTATTCTGTGTTAACATGGCTTTGATAGTAAACTATCATAGTCTGGGGGCTAATTTCTTGTAGTAGTAGGGATGTCTGGCCAAGTTGCGCCTAGGAGTATATATACTGTAGTGCCATAACTTGTGTTGCCCCACCCCTGAAATAGGCTGGATGTGTACAGTAGCCGTGGGATTCCACCTAGACCATTACGAGCCGACATTCCAACATTGATAACTATTTCAGAGTGCTGTTGGTTCATTAGAAGAAATCCTTAACTAGGCACGTGACACAAGCGGTATGTGACACCAGTATACAAAACATGGCACACACCCGAAAACCAGTAGACAAAACACCTGAGAACCAGTAGACAAAACATGGCACACACCCGAGAACCAGTAGACAAAACACCTGAGAACCAACAGACAAGACATACCACACGCATAAGAACCAGCAGACAAGACATACCACACACATAATAACCAGCAGACAAGACATACCACACGCATAAGAACTAATAGACAAGACATACCACACGCATAAGAACTAATAGACAAGACATACCACACGCATAAGAACCAGTAGACAAAACATGGCACACACCTGAGAACCAGCTGACAAGACATACCACACATAAGAACAAGCAGACAAGACATACCACACGCATAAGAACCAGTAGAAAAGACATACCACACTCATAAAAACCAGTAGAAAAGACATACCACACGCATAAAAACCTGTAGATAAGACATGCCACACGCATAAGAACCCGTAGATAAGACATGCCACACACATAAGAATCAGCAAACAAGACATGCCACACACATAAGAACCAGCAGACAAGACATACCACACGCATAGTAACCAGCAGACAAGACATACCACACACATAAGAACCAGCAGACAAGACATGCCACACACATAAGAACCAGCAGACAAGACATGCCACAACATAAGAACCCGTAGATAAGACATGCCACACACATAAGAACCAGCAGACAAGACATACCACACGCATAAGAACCAGCAGACAAGACATACCACAGCACATGCATAAGAACCAGCACACACAAGACATACCACACGCATAAGAACCAGCAGACAAGACATACCACACGCATTAGAACCAGCAGACAAGACATACCACACGCATAAGAACTAGCAGACAAGACATACCACACGCATAAGAACCAGCAGACAAGACAAAACCACATGATTCATAAGAACCAACAGACAAGACATACCACACGCATAAGAACCAGCAGACAAGACATACCACACGCATTAGAACCAGCTTTGACAAGACATTTCACAAGAATAGTTAAGCAGAAAGCCACATGCCACACACCTGAGAACCAACAGATAAGACATGCCGTTTAAGAACCAGCAGACAAGACATGCCACACACATAAGAACCAGCAGACAAGACATGCCACACACATAAGAACCAGCAGACAAGACATGCCACACACATAAGAACCAGCAGACAAGACATACCACACACATAAGAACCCGTAGATAAGACATGCCACACGCATAAGAACCAGCAGACAAGACATGCCACACGCATAAGAACCAGCAGACAAGACATACCACACGCATAAGAACCCGTAGATAAGACATGCTACACACATAAGAACCAGCAGACAAGACATGCCACACACATAAGAACCCGTAGATAAGACATGCCACACACATAAGAACCAGCAGACAAGACATACCACACGCATAAGAACCAGCAGACAAGACATACCACACGCATAAGAACCAGCAGACAAGACATACCACACACATAAGAACCAGCAGACAAGACATACCACACGCATTAGAACCAGCAGACAAGACATACCACACACATAAGAACCAGCAGACAAGACATACCACACACATAAGAACCCGTAGATAAGACATACCACACGCATAAGAACTAGCAGACAAGACATACCACACGCATAAGAACCAGCAGACAAGACATACCACACGCATAAGAACCAACAGACAAGACATACCACACGCATAAGAACCAGCAGACAAGACATACCACACGCATTAGAACCAGCAGACAAGACATACCACACGCATAAGAACTAGCAGAAAGACATGCCACACACCTGAGAACCAACAGATAAGACATGCCACACACATAAGAACCAGCAGACAAGACATGCCACACACATGAGAACCAGCAGACAAGACATGCCACACACATAAGAACCAGCAGACAAGACATACCACACACATAAGAACCCGTAGATAAGACATGCCACACGCATAAGAACCAGCAGACAAGACATACCACACGCAAAAGAACTAGCAGAAAGACATGCCACACACCTGAGAACCAACAGATAAGACATGCCACACACATAAGAACTAGCCACAAGACATGCCACACACCTGAAAACCAACAGATAAGACATGCCACACACCTGAAAACCAACAGACAAGACACGCCACACACATAAGAACCAGCAGACAAGACATGCCACACACATTAGAACCAGCAGACAAGACATACTACACGCATAAGAACCAGCAGACAAGACATGCCACACACATAAGAACCAGCAGACAAGACATACCATTACCACACACATAAGAACCAGCAGACAAGACATGCCACACACATAAGAACCAGCAGACAAGACATACCACACACATAAGAACCAGCAGACAAGACATACCACACACATAAGAACCCGTAGATAAGACATGCTACACATATAAGAACCAGCATACAAGACATACCACACACATTTAGACTCAGAAGACATAGCACACACCTGAGAACCAGTTGACATTGTATCAATCTGCATCTGTGGTGGTAAACTCTGCTGCTCTGCCATGGTTACAAATATCAATGCAGGGATCAATAATTAGAACTATCCAACACTGACTGCCTGAAAATCGACAATAAAATATATAACTTCATTTCATCCCTTCTTGAAACAAAAATTCACATATCAATAATTAAGACATACGATAAAAATAGGAAACAATGTGTGGCATACCATGCATCAAAAACACCACATCCATTTTATATAGGTATAACATTTAGAACAACACACTCATGGCACAGTGATTTCGGTCACAGGCAGGAGGAAAAGTTAAGGCCATTGTGATGTGTGAAATACTTTGTACCTCACACTGGGCACCAGCAGATTCTGTGCTGATCTGAGGTTATCGCATGAATCCTAATGCAAGACTTTTGCAACACATCCTCGTTATGTGCTACACAAACTGAGCTGACAGAGGGTGATGGTGGCCTTCAGGAATGTGGTCTTATTTCTTTGTTTCAACTAAACTATTTAATATAAAAAACTTAAAACTGCTCTGACAAGAAAAGAAAAGAGCCAGTTGAACTTAAACTTCTAAAATTCAGCATGATTCATTTGATTCAATTTGAAGTTCTAATAGTTTTTCATCATGTCCAGGTCAATGATTTGCTGAGCCTTTCTTTTTATCTTTGTTTATTATTTTGAAGACTAGTTTTAAAGCCAATCTTTGGGGGTGGGGGGAGGGGCGTTTGAGGGTCAGTACAAAAACAATTACAATAGATCAACAACTACTTGGGTCACCTGGAAGATGACAGAAGCCATGCAGTAGTATTTGTACTCTTACACTCCATGATTATCAATGTGTTCCCGCTAACAATATAATATACATATGTGTTAGAAGAATTAGTGCTGTTTAATTATAACTAATATAAGCTGTCACTGTCAGTAACTGTAACTCAAAAAAATTCACTTGTCTCTCACTCTTCACTCTCTCAACTCTGAAAGCATGCTGAGAATGGTGAAGACAAGGTGAAGGATGCTTTGAGCAGAGTGGCAAGTTTCACTGGGAAGGTCACAGGTAGTGAGCATACTTTGGATCTTTTCTCCAGGCAATGCCGGCATAGTGGGTAATGAACAGGCAAACAGATTAGCTGGATCTGCACCACTGGGTGGTCAATTGATACAATCATACATAACAAGGCAGATGTGGTCAAGGCCCTTTGGGAACAAGCAATGGAATTGGTAGAGAAACAAGATTATTATTATTAAGGCGCTTCTTTGAATCGTTCCCCAAAATGGCATCTGTAATATGATGGCGTTCAAAAAGGAGCTAAATTGGCCAATTTCTGGCCATAAAATATCCAAAAATATCCGAATGCGGGGTCAGTTCTATTAAAAATATATGTGCCGGCTCCAAATAACGAAACAAATGCTCTGACATACGTTGCTTGCCGACCTGCTTCTGCGAGTGTGCCTCACCGCCGAGCGTATCCCCCGCGCCGCTACGCGCGGCGCGGATGAGGGCTAAACTAGATGGCTGGGACTCACGAGTGGCAGCTACCGCATCTCCTGCAACTTCCTCCAATTACTGTACTCGTGAGTCCCAGGCACCTAGATACGCTCGGCGATGAGTTTAATCGCGTTTGGCGCATGCCGACAAGTCTGACATCTACCGCTCCAATCGGAACACAGTATTGAACACAGTATTGCTAATCGGCTTTCATCGTCTTTAATGTCTCGAAATTGGTCAACGGTCGCTAATATCGTCTGCTAGTATCGTCGTCTGCAGAAACGCTCGAAATTTTTGTCAACGGTCGGTATTTATCGTCTGCTACTAGTACCGTGTGCAAATATTGATATTGGTTGTCAAGTAATCCTAGTTTTGCCGCGATTTGTTCGTTGGCAGAAAGTCCGTATTTTAGATATACGCGAACACCGTCGTTCGGATATTTTTGGATATTTTATGGCCAGAATGTGGCATGCCGCCATTTTGGGGAATAAATCAAAGAAGCGCCATTATTAATCTGGAGTGTGTAACCCTGGCCGGCTCTCACTACACTCAGAGGAAAGGCAAGACAGACAAATAATCAGATTGTGACCGGTACCATCAGTATTGGAACTCTGCGCTGGCTTCTGAAAATGAGGACGGAGCAGGCATGGGAATGTCCGGAGTGCTGTGATGTGATGTCAATTCTTGAATGAACTCTTCACTTTTTCAACTCTCTGCTTGTGGACCGGACCTCATGTGTTATTGTTTAATTGTTAAAATTACAAATGTATTTAGATTAACTTTATGAACATTTAAATTGATTTAATAAATCGATACATATAACACGATAGTTACGTTCCAATATCCGATGTGGTAAAAAAATTTTATAGATAAAGATCAAGGAGAAGAGGTCACAACCACAAATTTGTTTACAATCCTCCAAATGCACATGGATCGCACTTCCCGTTGCTGATTGTTACCTCCCTTTTTTAGTCGTTTATTTATTATATCGCAATATTGTACAAACATATCGTTTATACCGCAAGGTTAAAGTCTTAAATAAAATAACGACATCATAGTCCTCAGAGTACTTGCATAAACGCTCTGTCTCGTCTTCAGCAGCAAGCGAAGAGTTCCAATTCCGATGGCACCAGTAACTGTCTGATAGTATATCCGTCTCGCTTTTCCCCTGAGTGTTGAACATCTGTCAAATTCCCTGGCAACTCCTCGCAGCGAAAGGTGCTGCAAGATGTTAGTCAACAAATATACTTGTACACATTTTACTCGGTACCACAATGTCACCTTGTCTAATATCTTTCTAGGAAAAGTATCCTTGTTTTCCCTTCCCCTGCAACTTTCTTGATATCACGTCTTGCACCAGTTTTCCTTTCTAAGGACTGCCCAAAGAATGTGGACTTTTCAGTTGGTAGAGGCTTGAGGTTGGCTACTTCATCCTTAAAAACAATGGCCACACACACACACAAAAAAAACATGGAAAAATCAAAAAAAAAAAGAAAAACACAGCCAACCAAGATGAGGTAAGGATCTTCTAGCAGAAGAAGGATGTCAGGATGTGAAGAAAGCTGAAAGGAGTCTAGGTCGTCGACGTACCTCCTTTCACCTAGGAAAACCTCCAGAATTGGCACCTGGAATATTATAACTTTTACGATGTGGGAAGAACAACGGAAGTATTTAGGGAAATAAAACATTATAGAATTAGTATTTTAGATCAACTAGAAGGACTATATTACCTGTAAATGTAGGACATATCAGACATGGCAATAGGGGAGGCAATCAGTTCATTAACAGACAACAAGGCAGCAGATTATGATGATATTAGTAAAACAGAAATGCTCAAGGCAGCAGATGATATAACCATAAACCGAGTGAAAGATTTGTTTACTAGAATTTACCAGAGTAAAAAAAATTCCAAAGCAATAGGCCTAATTGTTAAAACCCCGACACTTCGATGAGGTACAAGGTGGAAGAGAAGAAGAAGAAGAAGAAGTTAAAACTTCCAAAGAAAGGTAACTAACCGACTGTAAAAACTGCAGAGAAATTACTCTGTTGTAAGTAATGTGAAAGACGATATTTTGTAAAATAATTGTCACTAGAATTTAAACGGGTAGCGTAAACAATTCTTGGAAAAGAAAAGGCAGGTGTTTGACCCGGAAGAATGTGCTTAGATCAAACATTCAACTTGAACTTATTTTTGAGGAATTTATTGAAAAACAACAACCATTAATTTCGAATTTCCACGACTTTAAGAAGGCTGTTAATAGCTTACACAGAAAATAACTTTGGAGAATTTTGGAATCTTATGCCAAACCAATGAAAAGTAATAAAAGTATCGCTGTGATTTTGGTCTTCTACTTCTTCTTCACTTCCTCTTTTACCGCTTTGGAGTGTCGAGGGAGATATAAGGTTCTGTTTCTAACTTTTCTGGCCGCTTCGACCTAGGCACATTCGTGTTTGTAGAGTTTCTCTGATGTTATCCTTCCATCTTGTTCTTGGTCTACCTCGTGATCTACGTCCTTCTTCTCTTTCCATGTATGCTTTGTATGGTATGGTGTCACAAGGCATTCTCTATAAGTGGACTTGCTGTCTTTGTATGTAATTTAGAATTTGTTCTGTGCCGACTTTTTCTCTTTTGATCTCATTCCTTATCTTATCTCTTATGGTCACTCCTACAGCCCTTCTCAGACATCTCATTTCCGTGGTTACTAATTTTCTTTTATGGTTTGTTTAATGCCTTTGTATTCTTTTGCTATGTTTAGATCTGTCTTATTTTTTCCTATTGACATTACTTCTGTCTTTTCAGTGTTGATTCTCATATTATTTGTTTTACATTCTTCATTCATGGATGTTAGATGTTGTTGCAATTTCATGACTGTATCTGCTATCAAGGCCTGGTTATCTGCAAAGAGTAATTCATTGATCTTACTATCATTTTCATTCATGGGCTTGGCATTCTTGCATATACTGTCGATGTAGGTGATAAACAGCAGTGGTGATAATACACACCCCTGTCTTACTCCAGATGTTACTGTGAATGGATGACATGTTCCCTTGATTTTAGACACTTTCTGTTACTTGATTAATTCTGTTACTTGATTTTAGTCACAGGCACGAAAGAAGGTTATGGTGTAGATGCTAACTGTACCCATAGTCACGGCCGACTCTATTTATAAATAGCTCCAGAAGGGCGTGCCATAGCCCACTGCCTATACACGTCATTCTTTGTCTCATATACGCCCCTCCTTGCCAGATCCATACCTTACGTTCCTCATTCATACATTTTTACACAAATAATTTCATCTAACCTCATGTCTTCTATCAGCAGTCGTTGATAAATGATCTTCAGAATGTCTCCCTTGTACGAGTGTTCCCGTAGCTATAGCTTTTGTAGCCAGAAAACCCACTTTCATTGCCTCCCACTCCTGCATATTCCAGCCCACTGGAGCATTATAAAAAGTTGGACCCTGGCCGTGAGTGCATCCACGTGATTCCCTGTAAACTTGGCGTACTGCTGCATGCCACATTTGTTCCATTTCAAACTATCGCAGTACCAAGAATCAGA